CAAATCTTTTTCGCATCATTCAGAATTTACGGCAATCACACAATCGATTACGTCATAATGGGCTTCCATAACATTCAAATATTCAGGTTACCATGAATGAAACAACAACTTGCCGATAAATGAATCAACAACTTCGTGATAATACAAGGAGCACCCTTCAATCTACTCTAACCTTTATATCTAGTAAGATGAATTGTAGAAATTATGAAAACATATTCTTTTTATTTAAAAACAAATATTTTTCTGAATCACCGCCACGTAAAACTGTGACTTGAGAACCTGAAATGGCAGTATTTCTTTGATGTAAAACCGTACTTACAATATTTGTCATTCCGTTAACTGATTGATGACTGAGGCATTGTAATTGCAATACAAGACTTCGGTTATGTCGTCTTCATTTAGCATTTCTTCTGATATTCCATTAATTTGAAAATTTCACCTTTTCTTGGATGTCTGAAAATTTTTGGCTCTCTTCATGATCATGAAATTTGGTAGTTGGCTATAAATTATGCCAAGCATTTTAAAAAATATCTGCAGACATGTCTTCTGATTATCTTGTAATTCTCCATTCATCAAATTTTGTATTAAAATATTTCTAGAATTGTTTCATGGCTTTACTTCAGAATCGTTTGTTCAAGCTACTTTTCTTCATTTCAATGTGCTCTGCATTTCAGTGTGCACAAAATTTCGAGTGGCTGATTGACAGATGTATAAATTTGAGAAAAGAATAAAATGCAGATATTCTTATTTACTAAAATTGTAAATTTGATAAGTTAGGAGGAGAGTGCAGTTTGCTGTATTATCTGAACTTAGGTTTCTTGGAATCTAATTTTTGAACACTTTTCTGCTGTTATGCCAGCAAAAGAAAACCAATATCAGCAATATCTCATTCCAAATAAATCTGTCATTGGATTCAGAGCTGTGGAGTTGGTAGGGAAAATGACTGACTGACTCTGATTTAATGACTCCAACTCCATCCTATATATATATGTAAACATATACACATGGGTTACAGCTTATTTTTTTAATATAAAAGAAGTAATAGAGGCTACAGAAAAAAATTGATGGCATAGTAAATTATTTATATTAATTATCATTTATTATGAAATGGAAAAACTGGCATTAGTTATTTCTAAGAAACAGTATAGCTTCGGCAAGATTTTCTTTGTTGGAGGGCCATAGATCCAATTTGATAAACTTCAGAGCTGAGAAGAGTCTTTCCACACTAACTTGAGTAGAAGGAAGAGCTGTTACTGTTAGGGATACTTCTTTAACTTTTCAGGATAGATTATAAGTTTCTAAAAAAGTGTCTTGCAAGTGACATTTTTCTCTATTCTTTTCATAGGCATGTAGAAATCTGTTTGTATTTTTTCATTTTTATATTTAAAGGCTCCTTTTTTATTTTTTCGCTTTGTCTTAGCCTTTTCAATATTACAAAAATTTCTCAAAATCTAATCCATCAATGCACCCAAAATGTTTTCCCATAGTTTCAAAAAACATCACTCTGATTTTATTTTTTAAAAAACACCTATTTAAACCCACTATCAATAATATTGAAAATAAAGAGAAGCTTTCCCTTTAACATTTAAAATAAAAAAAAACCAATATAAAGTTTTCTAAATTGTATTTGATAACTGGGATCTAAATTTTGCTATTGCAACATCTGCAGTTTGACTGTCCTGATTCTAATTCTCCAATTGTTCTGAGAATAATTTCATTCTTAATGAAAGCTTATAGATGACTTTCTTTGCCTTTTTAATTTGTTCGTCATCCAAGAAAATTAGGTGTTTCAGATCTCCAACAAGATCTCATTGTCTAGCAAACTAGTTTCTCTTTTCTTCATTGAAGAAATTATTCCTTCTACAATAAACTGTCCATTTCAGAAAGAACAAACATCCCATTCTTGCCTCCTGTCAATTCTTCGGATTGCAGCTTTTTTGTGGCTATATATGGTATAGAAAGAAGAGTTTTCAATTCTGCAAGATCATTCCACAGTCTTTCTGTTAGTAAAACATTAGGGTTATCTACATCTTCTAAAAAAAACCTCTTTATCATCAAATATGTACTTCCTTATCGCATTGCTTTATCAATAATTGCTCCTTTTCCTGCTCGCTTCCTAAGAATGGCATCAATTTTAGGTGCTATTGCTGCTTACCTGAATTTAGCAGTGAGATTTGTAACTAAATGAATCAGTTTAATCACTAATAGCAAATATCACATCCATCCTCCTCCCTTACATTATTTATTAATAGGTCAATAAAATAGAAAGTAACTATTTATTAATGTATACAGTCCATAAATAAAAGTAATAACTCAGTTTGTCATAAATTATTTTTTTCAATTTATTTTAATTTCATTTCAGATTCAAGCTGTCCATGGAGTCGGAGTCGACCTGCTTTTAGCGACTCTACCTCTGACTCCTTTTATCCCAAAATCTGCCCGACTCTGATTCCGACTCCTCAGCCCTGATTAGATTTTATTTATTATTTAGATCAGATAGAAAATGTCCCTCCCCCCCAAAAAAAAACTTCTCAAGGGAGTTTGAAACTGTATACAGGGCTGAGTGTAACATCAATCAACGCATTTTCATTGTCTGTGATGTGATTTCCTAGCCAGCAAAGTTCTAAAGTTACGTAGAAGAATATCAGTTAGTTGGGAGAAAAATTACTTTTACTATATAGTAGCGTTTTTTTTTATTCCCAAACTTTATTATTAAAAAAAAAAGTTGCTAATGATCAGGAGGTCCAGTTTCATACTTTGTACTGTATATGTGTATATATATGAATGATTGAGTGATGGCTTCATATGAGTATATATTTAGAATCTTAGATGTAATTCAAATCTCTTAGGAAAGGAGTATAATGTTATATTTATTTTAACTAACAATTTAAAGTTTGACTTTAGACCTTTCCTGTAAGCCTCCATTCCCCTAATTGTCAGTGCCTGAATAGTTAAATGTTGTAGCGTGCGGAAGGAAATGCAAATTTTCTACTTTGAAGGAAGTAGTTAAAAGCCCAGTTTCGGCAGGAGAAAGAGAGAGTTAGGCTTTAATCGCCATCACTTAAAAGTACCACCATAGGTACGTTTGCTTATTGCTGGCTCAAGTGGCTTAATTGCATTGCTTTGCTGCCACTAATGTAGAAGGGGTTTGAGTTACAGGATCTCACTGAGCTCTGTAGGCTAGTTTTATCACTTGTTTATATTTCAACTTCTAGTTTCAATTATCTGATTTTCAGTTACCACCCCAGCAGAGGTGAAGTTTGTTAGCGTTGAGTTGACACATTGTAAATTTTAAAGAGTTAATAAAGGGTACTTTAACCCTGCTCCTGTGTAGTTTCTTGCTACTACAGTATACAGACAGAAGTGCATCCACTAGACTCTACAATGTATCCCAGAAGTAGTTACACTCTTTATTTACTGGTAGTAGTTTTGCTACTTTTGTGCAGATTAAATAAATACCATTCAGATTTGATTTAGTGTGAACAGATGTACTGATAGGAATGCAATTAACTCAAACATAAGTACTTTTCTGTTAACTGAACTACGTTGACAGACCTTTTTATCAATGGGCACAATTAACAAATTTTTCTAATAAATAAAAATTTGTCCTGCAGTAATTCTGTAAGAGCATAGAAGCATTAATAAATTAATAAGCATTGAAAGAGTAAATAAAAGCTTTGATAAAATTAGTAAACTAAATATTTTTTTTTTTAAGTTTGTTCTTAAAACACGTTGGCAGGAAAAATTTAAAGGACAACTTAAAAACTCATTTATCCTGAATAGTTTTGCAGCTAAGATCATGGAACTAGTGCAAGATCTTGCCAAGAATATTAAGTGTTTGGAGATATATGATGCTTGATGTATCTTCAAAATAACAGAATTGTTTATTTCTGAAAAAACTAAATTGAAGCAAGAACATAGGAAATGTGATAGAAAGCAGTATAGGGAAAAAGCAGTAGCATAACATTTTAGAGGTACATAAAAAATAATAAGGTGTGGGGTCATCTAACCACACATCTTAACATAAATTAATAAAAGCTTAACCTTTCTGATTATCTGATGAAGTCATTTCACCAGTCATTCTTCTAGCTAAGAGTTCCTAATGACCTTTAAAATAGCTACAGAACAGTAATTTTTATTTCAGTTTCTGCATAAATTTGCTTCAATGTGAATCTAATTTTTACTGTGCCATTTTTCCGGATACCGAGATCTTTCAATATTTTGAGTACACTGGAAAGAACTTGTGACACTGAATTTTTCTGCTTGTTGTATTGTAAAAGGTGGCTGATCACAAATTTTAATCATTTGCTCAAAATGCAAGATTGAGAATTTATTGGGGTTTCATAAAATAAAAGCGAAGAGCTTCTATGTGTGTTGTAATGTTATGTTTATCCATTATTGGCACTAAATCTCACTGTTTGGCAACACTTTGTATTTACCAAAATGGTTGATGGGAAAATACATAAGTATCAAAAAGAATATTTCTTAAATACAAAAATTATGAAAAATTAATGTTAGTGATTTTCATTTATTGAATATTACAACCATATTTTGATAAAATAAAAGAATTGATAGGCATTTAATGATCTTCGTTTATGAGTTTCCATAGGTGATTGCCTAAGTTTGGCTAATTATAAATATGGTATTAAGTATTGCATACATTTTCTTCTTTAATTAATGTTTATCCGATAACACGTTTTAAAGTTTAGAATCCAATTAATGTTTAACCGATAACACGTTTTAAAGTTTAGAAAAATCGTTTTGACATCAATTAAAGTTATTAAAATTTAGGGAACAAATTATGAAATTTGTTATTTCCATCCTTTTGAAAATTCTGTAATTCACAAATGTCAGTATAGATCATACACTATAATAAAATTATTTTTACAGAAATGCTTGTTATGTTTTAAGAAATGTTGTCTTACTATCATTCATAAAGTGAAATTGAAATTTCATATAAATCTGAGAATATATCTTTTCTAATACGTCAAATTTTGTAGGTGAAAAACCCGGCGGACTTGAAGAAATTTCAGTATTTCCATGGCATCCGAGACTGTGAAAGTAATAGTAAGATGTCGACCTATCAACCAGAGAGAAAGGAATTTAGGCTGCAAGGTAACATTTTTGTCTCTTTTTATCTTAAAAAAGTTTTTTACTGTTAAATTTTTATTACAAAGTTATGAATAAGTAATGTTTTCTTTCTTACAGTTGTGTAAACAATTTTTTAATGATTTACACCATCTATTATTTAATATATTTGTATTTGATATTAAAATTTCTACTGTTAAATTATTTTGATAACAGTTAGCTGCTTTACCTGCCAGGCTCATTTATTGTTAGAATTGTGCCTGTTTTCATATTCTATCTCAATATCATTTAAACAGGAAAACATATAGCAATTATGGGGGAAGGTTTCCTTGGCATGTCCTATTTAGGAACATTCTATGCCATTTTAACATATGGTCCTCTATAGGCTCAAGGTAGACTCCATTGTCTAGGAACCCATATAATATTAACAAATTTATTATTATGGAGAAAAGATAGTGTAGGTAAGGTTCTTGGAACAATCCAGAAATCTGGAGTGCATGATTTTGTTAAGATAGTCCTGCAAGCTGCCATATTTACCATGCACACATTCTGGTAATTAATTCATTTTGTAGTGCTGCTATTGCTCTGGAAAGTAAAGTGCTGCAGACTATTCTAGACAGGTTAGCAAGTTATCAGTACATCTTGAATATTCACAAATATAGGAGAAGGTTTTAAGTAACCTTTTCATTTAATCTGAACTTTTAACATACAAATAAAAGGCATGACTTGTGCTACAGAAAAACTACCAATCGTTTCTATTCAAATTAAGCAATAACAGACAATTTAAATTCAAATGCAGTTAATGAAATTTAAGACTACACATTAAATAAACTAAACTATAACCTGGCTCAGTTAAATTACCAGCATGTAAGTTTAAAGTATCAGCTAGCAAGAGAATCCCAAAGCTGAATATAAAGAGCTGGCAAAGAAACTAACAATAGATGTGAATGACAGAAGCTCTCACTTTCTGAGATTCAAAACACTTAGCTTAAATACTCACAAACATAATATGCATTCTGTTGAGGAATGTGGAAAGAAGATAAGTTAAAGATCAAAATCACAGTAACTTGTTAATTAGCATAATAACCTTACAATTTGTACTCCACATTCATAAATCTAATCTTTAAAATGTTATAAATGTATTTTCTAGGTGATTGTTTTGCATTTTTAATTTAGTTATTTTAATTTTTATAGTTTTCATATCAAGAAATTTAAATGAAATCAAAAGTGCATTTTTTCTGCTGAAATAAATTATTCTAAAAATTTATTCCATTCAAGTAAAAATTGAAATAAATAAATAAATTTTATATAAAAGTTGATAGCTGATGAAATTAAATAATTTTTTCTAAACATTTTTAAATGACATGCAAGTATTTAAACATGTAGATTGTTTCTAGTATTACTAACATAAACTTTTATTGAAATAAATCAATACTACTAGTTTTAGAAATGTAATTTTAGCACAAACAACCATAAAGTTAACTATAAATTTTAGATTATAATGTGATTAATTAAATTTTTGATGAGTCATAAGTGAATATGTTTTCTTCAATAGTGTTTTAACTCTATTGAAGTATGTTTTAACTGGATTATTTAAGTAAGTTTCACAAGTGTATTTTTAACACTTGCAAAACTTAAATAGTGAATTTCAGATGCTAACATTTTTAATAAAATTTTACATCACCAGCCTATGAAAATAGGCCCTTCATTGTTACACATTTAAGCTTATTATATTTTAATACTAATTTTATTACCCAAATGTATCAGAGGATGTAAGTTATATTAATTACATACTGTTGTTAAAAATGAAGACATTAAAATTTTTTAATTTAAATATTCATTCTTGTCTAAAAAGCCCTTTTGACTTAAAAAAAAAAAAAAAAAAAAATTCAAAAAAAATTTGTATAGAAATATGTGGTGTATAGAAACGGGAAGATATTTGGAAGCATACTGTTTATTGAATGATATCATTATATTAGGCTCTCTGAATATGGCAATGCGCAGAAGGGCTACTTGCTCTCCTATCTTTATGAAAGATTTTCTGAAGGAAACTGGCTCATACTCATGTTGCACAGGGGGAAAACCAAGCATGCAGCCAGCCTATTTGCCTCGATCAATCTCCCAGTATGCAGTGGTCTTAACCACTCAGCCAGTGATAGGGCTCCTTAAAATATTGGATTCATCTCTGGTGAAATGAATTTTTAGCGTGTTCTTGATGAATTGCAGTTGTATGAATTGCCCTTTTTATTTTAATGAATACAAATTTAAAAAAATGAAATATAAGCACTTCAGAATTGGAACATATAAAGTTATACTTTAATCTTTCATTCATTATATAGCAAAAAGTTATCACATGAATTACTTAATAAATAGTTATCAAATTTTTTAGCATAATACTTGTTTTATAAGAAGTGTATTTTGTATAACTTATTAACTATGTATATAAAAGCATTTTAGGTCAATTAATTTGTCAACAATTTCAGTTATTTTTCCTAAAACATTTACAAGGTTTAAAACTGTGTTACTTTGCATCTATTCCAAAATATCATGTGGGGATTTACATTTGAAGCAAACTTTTTGTGTGCATTCAAAATGTATACGTTTTATGTAACAGATATATACATGTAGTTCTCATCAATAATTTTGTTATTTATGAATGAAATATTATCACATGAAATTTCATGTGATAAAATTTCAATAAATGTTAAAAGCAAAATTATATTTTCAATGGCTAATGATCTCAATGATATCTGAGTAAAGAAAACAGAGAAAGAATGATAAAATTGGTATGTTATAATCAGATTAAAACATTGTTGATGCTGTGACTTCAGTGTGAGATGTCAGTAGAATTGTATCACCATTTGATATAGGGAAAATTTTGCTTGCTCTGAAAATATATATAAGTTATATAGGAAAGGGATAAATAGATATATATAGATAGATAGATAGACAGATACACACACAGGGCGTTTCGAAACTCACGGGTAAAAGGGGTGATAAAAATGCATATTAGAAATGCCTTCATGAGTAAAGGTGCATTCATCCGTGAATGTTTTCTGAAAGCAGTCTGTGCTGCTAGCTGTTGCAAAAACCAAAGTGTAAACTTGACACATGGTGCAAAATCTGCAGGTTTCGAGGCTTGCACTTTCTGTACATGGTAGGGGTGTAATTTCATCCTGCAGCACTCACCAAACAATCGAGTGGGGTGTATTTATGGCACGGGAAACCTCTCACGTACTTATATCTGAGGGATGGTTGCTATTGAAGGTGGTATATTAGTTGATCTGACTCCATAATTGAATGAAACAATATTCAATATAAAAATATATTTTATTATACACACAGGAATAAGACTCGTACTGGGAGCATTACGAAGCATTCTTTTTTCTCCAACGGGGTCGGCCAAAAAGAGGCTGTGAGGTGAGACAGAAGTTGTGACGTAACCAGACAGATGTTGTTGCACCTCTTGCTGATTGGCTACATATCCATACAATCTTCCAATCTTTGCAGAATGTCCTCTATAGTTTGTGGTGTCTGCACACTCCTGTCATGTTCTGTATCATGCATGCTGGTAACAAAGAACTGCATTTCATACCGACACCAATGTAATCACTTGAACATTTTTCAGTTCGGCACGTGTCTTCTCGGGAAACACTGCCTGTACAGTCTTTCAGCTTCCAGAGCATTCCCATTCGCAAGACCATGCATAAAGTGCTTTTTCTAATTGCTGCGCATTGACATGCCTTCTAAAATCCATGCTAGAAATGATGGTGTGTGAGAAAACCTGTGCTTTATGATTTCCATTATAGCGCCATCTAGCTGTTAATTGCTTGCTTTCATCTATGCATTGTATTGAGAAAATTGCTTGTTTAAATGTTTTCTATCACTCCTTAAATTTCCCCCCATGAGTTTCAAAGCACCCTCACCCTCGCACACACACGTATATATTATACACACACACAGACTGACAAACTTGCAGGGTGTGTAGGGGGTACAGAGACAACTTGGAATCACACAGGAATGCAGGGGCACAAATGCCATAGTTGCAAGCTATGGTGCAAAGAAGTAGAGAAAAAGAACAGAAAGAGCAACACATTAATTGGACAGAAAACATTTTATTGAAAGATTGTACTACAGTAGGTGTTCAAAATTCTAACCAGAAGTCATCTGGTAGGCCTGACAGCAGCCGCTACATGGAATTCCTTACATTCTGGAAGATTTCTGGCATGTCACATATCCTCCCAGCAGCTACAGATATTCGAGCAATGAGATCTTCAACTGAAAGAACGGGTGTCTTATACACCAAATTCTTCTTGTGACCTCAGAAGAAGGAAGTCCATGTGTGATAGGTCTGGTGATCTGGCAGGCCTATGAACCGGGCCACCACGACATATCCACTGCTGTCCAAAGGTTATGTTGAGGTGTCAGTAGATGTCAATCATATAATGTAGAGCAGCTGTCGTGCTGGTATGACATTTAGCGGCACAACAACAGAGGAACATGTACTGCATCAAGAAGTTCGGACAGGTCTTATTGCAACAAGATCGGGTATGCCCTACCATCCAAACGACTGGGCAAAAGGTATGGTCCAGTATGGTAGTCTCCAAGAATGCTGGCCCAAACATTGACCGAGAAACGCTCTTGAGCTCCACATGGTTGCATACGATGAGGGTTCTCCAAAGCCCACGCATGGGTGTTATGCTGATTAAAGGCTCCCTCAAATGCGCTTCATCCATAAACAATGCGGATGCAGCAACTGTCTGCAGCACTCTGTTGCAGGAACCATGTAGTAAATGCCCTCCTGAGTGGATAATCCTCAGACTATAATAATTGGATGCGATGAAATGGTTATTTGCTTATTTGGTTTTCTGTGAGCATCCTCCAGACAATGTATTGAGATAAACACACTTGTTAGGCTATTGCTTACTTGAGTACTCATACTTGGATTGTCTTCTGCCAGACATAAGACCACTTCTTCATTGCCAGGTGTCCTTGTCCACTGTCAATTCATTGTAGCTCTTGTTTAACAACCAGTCTCACGTAACCTTCTATTCACACTTGCAAAAGTCGTATGTTGTGGAGCACGCCTGTTCAGGTACAACTGCTGAGTGGCATGCCCGTTACAATCTGCAGCTCCATACATGATCAGCTTGTTGAGCAGTTCATCATTTGAATGCGTGTTCATCCTACTACCTCGGGAAATGGATTGGAAATAACAACTTCCAGCAGGATCGCTGTTCACGCAACCTTCCGTTTAGCATCATCTACAGACTGCCTGGTGGAATCTTCCAAAATGTAAGGAATTCCATGCAGTGCCGCTGTCAGGCCTGCCTAGCGACTTCTGGTCATAATTTCGAACTGTTGTAGTACAACCTTTCAATAAAATTATTTCTGTTGTTTCAATAAAAATCTTTCAACGAACATTAATGTGCTGCTGTTTCTGTTCTTTTTTTTCTGTTTCTTTGCATTATAGCTCACAACTATAGCATTTGCAACCTTGCATTCCTATGTGATTCCAAGTTATCTCTGTACCCCCTGCACACCCTGCAAGTTTGTCGGTCTGGTAGTGAATCACCCTGTACATACACTGGGTGATTTTAATTAAACTTAGCCTATTTAGGGCACCCTGTAATCGTAACTAAAATGCTAATTGATTCAAGAATTTGTAAATAGACAATTCAAAAGATGTGCTGAAAGATACTCCCCCCCCTAAAAAAAATTCTACTAGGTGGCACATTACATTGAAGTACAAAAGTACAAGCATCGTTTATTTGTTACAGACTGTTTAGCAATGTAAAGCATTTTGTTCAATGTGGTCCTGCTCATTAAAGTGTAAAACATGTAGATGATGAATGGTACGTTCAATAACTGATCGCTAGTGATCTTTTGCACAAGCAACATAGTATGGTCCTTAAGATCAGCCAAAGTTTTAAGATTACCCCATTAAACCACACTTTGTAAATGGCCCCATAACCAAAAACTACACAAAGTGAAATCGGGAAACGGGCTGGCCAAGGAATGGGAAATGAATGGCTAATCACTCTGTCATTGGTAAAATGTTGCTGCAAAAACCTCTCTCTCTCTGTGGAGGAGCACCTTCTTACACAAAAATAGTAGACAGAAAGCATAGTCTCTGCTGATGTTGAGGTAAGATGAACTGTTGAGCTAGTCATGGTATCTGAAGGCCATTACAAGGCATGTTACAAGGCCATTATTGTAATATTCTTTGAAGGTGAATGGTCCAGGAATAAATTGGGAAGTGAACCCACGCCAGACGGTTACTTTAGGGGAGTGTAATGGAATAGTGTAGAAGGCACATGGGTTTTCTACAGGTCAAATTCAACAATTTACTGTTCAGTTGAGATAAAAATGGGCATCATCACTCCAGAGGATATTCAATGTCCAGCACTGATTGACATCCATTTGGACAAGAAAAGTTAGTGCAAAAGGTAACTGATGGTTAGTGTTGGTAATAAGCAGTTACTGATTGTGGTTGATCTTAAATGGAAAAAGTGCACAAGTTTTCTCAGTAACTTCTACACTGTTTCATACAGTATATCTAACTGCTGTGACACTGCATGTGCACTATTGGTGGCATGATCATTCATCAGTGACTGCTCGACAATGGCCATTGCTACCTCTGAAACAACTTCTCCGTTGACAGGCTTTTGCCCTGTGCCATGTTGAATGCATCATGACCAAGTGATTTTTAGTTGAGATATCATGTCTCTCACACCTGTATAATTATGCACCACATAAACACTTTTTTTTTTATGTTTTCATTTTTATAACAGCAAGTCTGGGAAGATTATTCATGCATTTGTACAATCATCAATCCTATGTATTGATCCTAGGCAAGTTACTTAACCCTTTCAGCATTATGTGTTTTTTTCCTGAAATTTAAAGTTTTCCAAAATGTTATAAATAAATAGTATTTTCTTGATTATACTTTAAAAATGACCCTTTAAATTTGTACCTTGACTTATTTTCTCCTAATATACATCCAACCCAAAATCGGATGCATTAGAATTTGGCAAAAATTTTCATGTGTAATGAATTAGGAAAACATCCTTCTGTATGGAATTATATGCTCATAATACTTATAAAGCTTAGAGGCATGTATTGATTTTTATCTGTATGATACATTTATATTTCCACTTGAAAGTTATTGAAGTAATTCATCTTTACTTTCAGATGGTATTATTTTATTTATATATATTAAATAGCATTTTTTAAAAATTTATTCATTTGTATCAATGTATATGTATTTTGAGTATCATATTTGTAATTAAAATAAATTGATACATTGTGATGTATTACTTTGCTATGTTTATGACATATGAGATAAGCTTATATTTTGTTTTTAATCTTTATGTGATTTAAAAAAATTTTAGGTCATAATCAGCATGGATTCTTCGTGTGGTCTGTGCTCTATTGTCAACCCGGCTGATAGCTCTGCTCCACCAAAAAGTTTTACTTTTGATGGTGCTTATTTTATAGATTCTACAACAGAACAAATTTATAATGAAATTGTGTATCCTATAGTTGAAGTAAGCAATCTCTTGTAACAGAACTTCTGTAAATATTTAATTATAAGGATTACTTCACTAGCATCTGACAGTATCATGTAATCTTACTACTCTTAATTTATTAAAAGCCCCTAACATTTCTATAAATTTAAATTTATGCTCCTTTTTATCACTCATGCATGTTCATAGATATGAGAATTCTTACGATCCAAAGAATAAATATTTATTTTACAATAAGATTTCAGATTTCTTTATATACTAACTTGAATGAAAAATTTTATTATATTCTATATAAGCTGAATTTATTTCTAAATGAAAAGATATTTGTTATTTATTCTAAGTCATGGCATAATTACATAAACAGACTCAGAAATAATTAGGATGGGTGCATTTATTAGTTTTGATAGGTGTAAATCTTTAGCGTTAAACATGACATTGATTTTACTCAATTTTATCCCAGTTTTAATTAAAAATTTTTGCAAGGAATAGAAATTTTGTATTTCTTTTTTCTGCTTTCACAACATTTGGGGTCTGATGCAGCATGACTGAGAGATTTTAAAGGCCCTCTTTCTTCAAATCTCACGTGTCCATTTTTTACACAGGATTTAAACTGTGGCCTTTTTGGTATGGGAACAACCTATGCTGACTGTCATGTAAAATTTTTTACTTCTTGTTTGAAGTAAAATAAGTATTGTAATCGGGAAAAATTTTGGGTATCGTATATCAATAGAAATATCAATTTTGACTGTTTGTGAATCTATTTCAACTATTCTCTTGTGTGACATCTGTGCATATGGACAGAGCAAAATACTCTTTTTTCAGAGGCAGGTAATAAAGTGAATTTAAATGTACTTTTTTCAGATGTCTATAGATACATATGTATCTCATATAACTAAAAAACGGTTAGCTGTAGAATGTTGAAATTTTGTATGAGATTGCTATAATGTCTATTTGTGCATTTCCTTTTTTTATTGCATTTGGAAGTACCAAAAATGTATATATGTACCTATCCAACCCCCTTACCCGGCTTAAAAGTCCTTACCCAGCCTTTATTTATTTATTTATTTTTTTTTTCAATTATTTGTCAAAGTCATATACTTCCAGTTACAGAAGTGTTTTAAGTGATGAAAATATTCATGATTTGGTAATGTCAAATTAAAAAAAAAAAAGAAAAAAACATGAATAGATAATGAAATCTAACTTTTAATGTGGTCTCTCAGTTCCTTATTTATATTTGTTATGAAAAATCTAAATTATAAGAAGTTTGACTCCTGTATGACAAATATTGACAAGGTTAATTTCAAAATTTGCAATTTTTGTCATTTTCAATTTGCTTTGAGGGATTCGTTAGTTAAGTTAGAATAATTCGAGGAAATAAGTTTAAATGAAGTTCAGTAAAAAATGTGTATAATTTAATATGCTGTACAAGGAATTCATGTTTTGTCCACATCAGATTTTTTTATTATTATTATTTTTTTATTATTATTATTGCAGGTATGACTTTTTTAAATGAACTGTTCGTACTTAATTTTACTTAATTTAGAATTTCAATATGCCATTCATTATTGACTTAATAAAAAATCTGATGTAGCCCTCTCACCAAATCCATGTTTTAAATAACGATAAGCTTTAAGTAAAGTGATACTTTATTTAAAGCTCATCATTATTTAAAACTTGGAATTGTTGATCATTTGTAAATAAAATATTTATATGCTTATTAACTTTATGGTTGAATGTTAACACTACTAATTTTTTATTAGTCTGTTCTTCCTATGCAAGGAAAATGATAATTATATGTACTTATGTGTACATTTGCTCTCGTGCTTTTATTTGAAAATATTGTTTTGATTGTAGTGTATACTCTTATTACAAAGTATTTTGGCTTTACAAATCAATGACTTAACAATCACAGAATTTTTATAAGCAGCATATTTTTAGAATTCCCCATAGAGTGAATGTTGCAATATATTTTTTTTCCAATCTTGTCCCAGTTCATGATATCGGTGTTCAATATTGTTAATAAAAACTTTTTTACTTGCCCTTTTAGCTTTATTTATTAAACGTCACTTTCATTGCACTTGTGTGACAAAATTCAACAACAAAATCCCTAAAAGCATCTTATTTTTAGATTTCCTAATAAAGTGTTAAATGTTGCCATGCATTCATTTTATATTTGCTATACTATTTATATTTTCTGCATTGATTCTTTAAAAATGACACATAATGATAGCATTTGATGGCAGCTTCCTTTTATTAGAAAAGTGATTTGACACAAAATTAAGGATTTGAGACTAATGCATTTAATGGCTTCATAATGATAGTCATTTTCATTTTGAGTTTATTCTCATTGCATTTAGCATAATTCCAGTAATACATTTATTGCTCATAAGTGTAATATGTATAAGTATATAAGTTTATAAGTTCTCAGTCATCACATATATCTTTTAATCACCAAATATGAGAAATTTTTGGAATATCTCCTAATGTATTTTTTCATGAAAACTTATTGAGAGCTTCAAGTAAAGTATTACTTCTGGTTTATTGGTTTAAGCCAAAATGAAATATGTTCCCATCGATATAAAAATCTTAAATACTAAAATTGAAAAGTTTTAAAGTAATTAAATGTATTTTTTTTAAAATTATATTAAAAACTGTTATAAACTTCAACTAAAATACCACTTCCAGTTGTCCATTAAAAACTGCTATGGGCTGCTTGAAAAGTACCTCTTCCGGTTGTCCAATTTGACACAGAATTTAATCAACCTTTGATATGAATGCAGAAAGCTTTAAACATAGAAAATGGGAATTTTTGGAAGTTTCTTATAATAGTTAAGTTATCATGAAAAAATTAATCCTTACCCACAGATAGACCAACAGGCTTCATTCTAAAAATGATAAAAATATGTTTTAGGGGCTCTAATTCATGCGTATTCATTAAAAAACTTGCTGTAATATTTCTGGGCTGAAAACATTATCTCTCTTATCTATGTATATAGGATGGCAGAAGGTTAAAACGTTAATCTCAGGTTGTAGAGACAAGATGCTTTATCAAATATATATTAATAAAAGGTGAGAATTAAATTTTTGGTATTTTTTGATTATCTGCATCCCTAACAGGGTAAAAAAGGGTTCATGAGTAAAATTTCATCAAAGTAGTTATGTGGCAACCCAGATATATGCATAGCATATGTCTGTTTTGGCTCGTACACTGTGCCAAAGTTGTACAAATGCCAAGTTTGTGCAACGTTCTGATGTTTTTTAAGTAAAAACAGATTGCTGTGTATATGTATTAGGGCAAAAAAGAATTTCTGAACTTAGAAAAGCATGTTTTATTACTCACATTTCTTGCTTTTTAAATTTTGATTTGATTCATAATACAGCACCATTTTGGAAATGGCTCTTGCCGTTTGTACATTAGCTGTATGAAAAATTAGTCGGCAAATGCGTTTGTGAATTTTCTCAAAAGTAGGCGGGGATTTTGTAACTTTTCGACAGGGAATGCAGATAATCAGAAAATATCAGATTTTTCTTTTGAATAATAAGTTAACCATAATAATGATAATAATAATAATAATAAAGAGGTCTTCAGAAAATAAGCGGTATTAAAAATTTTGAGAATGTTGAACTTTTAGAAGATTTAAATAGTAAATAAAAAAATGATGGACCTTTAGTATGAGGGACGAGAGATTGCATTACAGACAGAATAAATTAGTGTTGGTTAAAACATTTATTTAAGTTTTGTGTAAAATTCTTTTTAAGCAATATATAGCCATTTATAAATTTCCTTCTTCTTTAAAATGCTTTCTGCTGAGTAAACTTTTCTAGTCCAAAGGGGCTTTGTCCTTGAGGGACTATAGTTTTCATTTTGCGATTTTACGTCGAATCACTCTGAATGTCCGTTTCACTTTTCAAACTGTTTCCACCAAATATTATCACCTTTGAAGAAATTAAATAATGAAGAATCTGCATAAATGTATGTATGTTTTTCTCATTGAGATAAAACAACGGTACCTAGAGACATCTAATTTTGAATGACGTAATTTTGCTGCGAATATGGCCATCTGGAAGCCCAAATTTGAAATTTGTTTTATTATTGATTTCATATTTTGTAAAACTTTAATGAATTTTTGATTAACAAACTCAAAGATTTCAAAGCAAGCAATGGCAACGTTGTACAGAAAAAACACTTTTATCTTCAGCATGTGAGACTTTGAATCAGCAATTCTAAAGATTTGCTCAGTTTAAAGTTATTTTGCGATATTGCTCTTGAACTGAATTTTATGGTTTATGTGCAAAGAGCATGATATTTAATAAATAAAGGTAACACGCGAAATGTTAAAAAAAAAAGCCCATTTGGACGTAATTTAATCTGAAAGGTTTCAGATTTTTTTTTATATTTCTCATAATGGAAAAAAAAAAAAAAAAAAAAATCCGAAACCTGAACAACAACAACAGCTGAGGAACAACAACAAAAGCTCACCAACAGCTGAGAAAATCGCTGAACACTGGTGCTTTGATCCGGCTGAGCTTCATGGATATTTTCGTGGTTTTCCTTATGTGTAACATGTACATTAATCAATTTTTCCTTAGAAAATCCTCCACAAAGTCATCCCTTTCCTTAGGCAGGTAACCTTCGAGTGCTACTTAGAAATTATACCATCCACTACAAAAGCGGGCTAACATCGAACCAGAAATATTTGCTTAGTCCTGTCAATGTTATGCCAATTGTTCCTGTGGAATTCTGAAGAGACTGATTGATGCTTCTTTATTTATTACATAATCAATGTTCAACTTGCTTCATTTTTGTACTTCCTAAAACAACTTTAATTGATTTCTACTATTTTGTTATATCCTTCGATTTTACTGGAAACTCCGTTTCGAATGCTATGAGTACAAACTTCCCACAGGTAGTTGTTCAATTCTGTTATTGTTTTGTTGGCCATATTGTGGCCACATTTTTTTTTTCTTTTGTTGGTACAATCCCATAACTTTGAAGATAATCTGCTGCTTGTTGTTCTGCAGAAAGCAGGTTCCAAATTTAAAAAAAAAATGTTTTTTTTCAAAATGCAAGTTAAAAATTCAGGAAAAACCGTTAATTTATATCCTCTTTTATAAAAGCGAAATGTGGTTTTTTTAACATTTTGTGCGTTACCTTTATTTATTAAATATCATATCCTTCGCACTTAAACCATAAAATTAAGTTCAAGAGTAATATCACAAAATACTTTTAAAATGAGCATATCTTTAGAATTTCCAGTACGCAGTCTCGCGTGCTGGAAATAAAAATGATTTTTCTGTACAACATTGCCTTTGCTAACTTTGAAATCCTTGAGTTTGTTAATCGAAAATTCGTTAAAGCTTTACAAAATATGAAATCCATAATAAAACAAATTCCAAATTCTCGCGTGCTGGAAATAAAAATGATTTTTCTGTACAACATTGCCTTTGCTAATTTTGAAATCCTTGAGTTTGTTAATAAAAAATTCGTTAAAGCTTTACAAAATATGAAATCCATAATAAAACAAATTCCAAATTCGGGCTTCCAGATGCTCATATTTGCAGGAGGATTACGTTTATACAAAATTTGATGGCTCTAGGTACTTTTGTTTTATCAAAGTACAAGAAACATACATACATTTATGTAGATTCTTCATTATTTAATTTCTTTAAATATAATGTGTGGTGGCAACAATTGGAAAAGGGAAGCAACGCTTGTAGTGAATGAACGCAAAATGCCAAAATGAAGTCCTTCTGGGCAAATTGCTCTTTTTGGGCTAAGAAAAAAATCAACAATTGCTGTTTTTCTAATTACCACATACTAATATCTTATTTGTTTTTACTTGATGTTTTAATAATTGTATATTTTTCTCTATTACACAATAGAGTGTGACTGAAGGCTACAATGGTACAGTTTTCGCATATGGCCAAACTGGCTGCGGAAAGTCCTTCACCATGCAAGGTATCACCCATCCAGCCAGTCAGAAGGGAATCATTCCCAGAGCTTTCGAGCACATATTTGAAGCTATTGCTACAACCGAAAATACAAAATTCTTAGTCCATGCTTCTTATCTAGAAATTTATAATGAAGAAATAAGAGATTTACTAGGGAAAGAGACAAAGAAAAAACTAGAGCTTAAAGAACATCCAGATAAAGGAGTTTATGTAGCCGGTAAATATAGTCTTTTAAAAATTATCTTATTTGATTTTATCAATTCATGCTAAAATCTTGGCTTCTCATAGTATTTAAATTTTAAAAATCTTTTATATGTATGTAATAAAAATTTGCAATAAAAATGTCATGGCATTGAAATTGGAAGTAGATGAAAACATGTTTTCACAAGTACAAAGCATGTTTATGTATTTTTAGAATGATTTCTTTTTGGTTGCAGTCATTTAGATAAACCCATGGGACATTGAAAGTCACAATATGAATTTCCATTTATTTCTTGCTAAATAATTTTCATATAGGGCTCTGTAAATTGTTCTGCATTGAACCACATGACTCAGCAAAAGCTGGTGAACATCATGTTTTTTAGCTTTCTTAAGTTGTAAATCTTGGTTTATCATTTTATTTATTGTTGTTACAGATGTATGTAAACACTTTGCAAATGATATCTGCATTGATGAATTTTCTCTTGTCATTACTGATTTAGAAACATTAGAAAGAGTCTGTACCTTTTTGTATTCGTTTTGAAACTTCTTTCCACTTAGAATACGGTTTCTGCTGATGGAGAGACTTTTTTTCCTTTGATAATTTTTCCTTTTCTAATTAGTAATGTTGCTTATTTTGCATTAGAAATTTTAATACCATGTATTTCACAACATTTTTTAATTATGAAATAAGAATACAATACAAAGTCCGAGATCTGGACGTCCAATATCCGAAATGATTTAAAATCCGGACCTCAAAGCCACCACCAGCATTTCTTTTTTGTATGCTTTACGCATGCACATTTGACTTCTCCCCCCTGCGCATAATAAAATATGTGGAGAGTCTCAGTTCTTAACTTCACTTCAGCACTAAATAAAATACCTTGCTATTGAAGAAACATTTTAGCATAAATTTGTATGGTGAATAATTTGGCTCCATTGCTGCGTATGTGCTTGGTATACATCTCAAACTGAAACATTCTACATAGATACATCATTGATTTACACTTACTAATATTTTATGCCCCTGACGCCAACCTGGTGAATAATTATTTATTATATTTTGTTTCATCACCGCATGTTTATCAACACATGGCAACTTGAGTAACGATTTATGTAGCAATGCTTAAACATTTTTTTTTATGTTAGTAATTGAATAATAAAGAGTACGGTAACCTTTCATGTTGACATTACACTTGGTGGTGATTACAGGTTTAAGTTAAATGTGCTAAAATATGTTGAAAAGGAAAAATTTAACAAAACATTCTGTCCACATGCTAAAAATAGATTTTGTTAATGATACTCATAGGCCAAAAGATTACATTTAGCGCTATTTGAATTAATGGTAACTAATGTGTTATTCACATAACCCCAGAAGCAGCACCAGGGCTCATATAGCCGCACCGGGCAGCAGAATTTAGGGAAGACAAAGAGAGGCACTTGATAGGAGATTTTAAGAACCACAGAGACAGCATCAGACTCTAGTGCCGGCCCTCAATAAGCCTTAAGTATATGTGGGAATTTATTTATTCAGAACTCAGAGAAGCCTGGGCAAGAAATAAACATAAGTATAATAAGTAACTAAACTAATACAATTCAGGCTTGATTCCTTAGTGCAAGATAGAAGCTAGATAAAATTTGGCAGAACAACTTTGTCATTAGTCGCCAATTTCATGCTACATAGCCAAATATGTATAGTGAACGACAACTAAATTTTATGATATCCGCAAATTTTAAAGGCTTTAAGATATCGCAAAACAAAGATGAAATTTTCCAATTAATGGATTTTGTAGAGAAATGTGGAGAAGTGGTAATAAATGAAGATGATATAAAAGTTTTTCATTGTGATGACAATGCTCCTCAATCATCAATCAATTAATTGATGGCAAAATCTGTAGTAGGATTCTAGATTCAGAAAATATCCCAACCGATAGTGAAGAAAGTGACAGAAAGGTTACTGAAAACGAAAAAATTTCAATTGACAAGTTAGTCGGAATTCTTGACACAGCGATTACAGGAACCAGTGTAATTGAACAAGAAATTATGTCTGTCTACAGAATTAAAGAGAAAGTATTAGCACAAAAAATGAAGCAACTTAATGTGCATTAAAAGAAATGTTTAGTAAAGTACATTTTAAAAAAATTTTGATACCCTTTAGATCATAAATGCTTCATTATTTCATAAATTTCAATTTCATATTTTTAATTTTGTAATTTCTAAATGCCATCTTACTAGATTTAAACTTATGATCTAATATCCGGAAAAACCCAAAATCCTGAATTGCCAAAGACCCGATGAGTCCGGATCTCGGACTTTGTACTCTATTTATGTTTGGAAAGCGCAAAAACATGTTCTTCAATATACAGCTTATTTATATATGACATTTTGAAAAAAGAATAAATTGAAAAGTAGCAGATAATATTTCTCATTTCAAATTGTAAGGTGTTGCCTGAAATTTTGATTCTAAAACATCTGCTTTTTTAAAATTCTGTATCAAAATTGTTCAAAAAATGTGTAAGAATCTTCTGTTGTTGAAAAGAAAGCACATTTTGTATAAAAATACTAGTAATGATTAACTTAAGAGTGAAAGCAAAAGAGAAATATGCCAAGTGAAACATAAAATTAGTAACACAACAACCTTAAGTTAGGCATATATCAAGATCTCAAAACTTGGTCTTATGACTTAAATCTGCACCAAACTCAAGGTTGTCATGTTACTAATTATAACTTTAGAATGTTTATATAATATATCGTTTGAATGATACTTTGAAAGAACTTATTAATTCAGTTACTGGTGTAGATAATAAAATGGCAAATTTAATTCTATTATGAAGAATGGACTCTGAACTTCAAAATACAGAGTTTTAACATAGATGCTGAAGTCATAATACACTGGTTATCATAAATTAAGTAAAAAATCACAAAAATAGTGATAACTCCCTCAAAAATAAGCCAAACTGTGTAAAATTTGAATTTGTTGCCAAGTAAGAGTAGCTGAGTAAAACTCCAATATGCAAATTAGTGGCGCTGCACTCGGAATACGTCATCTGCGAGGAGAATAAAAGTCCATGTTTAAGAGCAAGCCCACATATTGTACTGTGATAGTGACATCAGAAATGTGAGATAGCCAACTCGTAACAATGACCTCCAGGCATCATTTGCCTGCAAAACTACGTTGGAAAGCCACTGGGAGACTAGAGGCAGGATAAAGTCAAACAGAAGTGGCCAGATGGCTAATTGTGAGTCCTTCTGTGGTTCATAGACTTTAGAGGCGATTTCAAACCACAGATTCCGCATCTAGGAGGTTAAGCCAAGGACGGCCAACTGCTACGATGAACGCCGATGACCGATATTTGACATTATGTGCACGCAGGAATAGAACCGCTACTCCGACTTTTCTTAGATCCTCCCTTGCTGCAGCCACCGGAAGGTTCGTGTCAATGTCAACTGTGCATAGAAGGCTTCACTAAGGTGGTCTGTATGCGAGGCGACTAGCCATTTGTGTGCCGCTCACGTCACGCCATAGGAGAGACCATTTGCAGTGGGCACGGCAGTATGCCCACTGGACGCCTGATCAGTGGCGGGCTGTTCTCTACGGATGAGTCCAGGTTTAGTCTAGAAAGAGATAGTAGTTGTTATTTGATATGGAGACGACCTGGAACCCGTTGTCATCTGTCAAACATCCATTAAAGAGATGCATATGGAAGAGGCAGTGTCTGTGTTTGGGTGGTATCTCTTTGGGTGGACGCACAGACCTCCATGTCTTTCCAACGGAAACCGAAAATGCTCCGGTTTATAGAGATGACATCCTTGATGCTTATGTGCGCCTATGTGCCGGGATAATAGGTGATGCTTTCCAGTTACAGGACGATAGCACAAGACCACACAGGGTTCGCATCGTAGATGATTGTTTTCAACAGGAAACAATTATGCGCATGGAGTGGCCAGCTCGATCCCCGCACTTGAATCCTATCGAGCATGTTTGGGATGCTTTAGAGAGACGTCTAGCTGCTCTCAAGCTGCTCCCTCAGAGCCTTGCCGCACTTGCCACTGCTTTGCAAGAGCAATGGCTCTCGCTTCCTATGGAACTGATAGACCGCATAATTGAAAGCATCACACATCGCAGTATGTGCGGTCATGGACACTTAGCTGACGGGACACTTAACCGACACCAGTTAGCCGACAAGACATTTAGCCGACAGGGACACTTAGCCGACATGGACACTTAGCTGACAGGACATCTGGCCGACACGGACACTTAGCCGACAGAATACTTAGCCAACAAGGACACTTAGCCGACACGGACAGTTAGCGGACATGACATTAAGCCAACAATGAGTCTCGCTCTTCCCAATGGTTTTAGTTTTCTAATACTTTCACATTTCGTTACTACTTTGCTCAACACATCACACTATATTCATTAAAGTCGTTTTGCTCCTTCCACTAATGAAATTTCCTTTCCCTGTCAAGAAGTAAAGTGATTCGCCCTACTCTTTACCACACTGGAACTACTTTTTTTTTTAAATCTAAAATGCTATTTACACCCTCAGAGTGATATTAACAGGTTAGGCATCGCATATTTATTAATCCGGGATAGGGCTCCAGCACGGGAATTCGTAACTCGTGGCCTGCGGCCACCTAACAGAAGTAGGTTTGGTTTATGTAGTTATGGCAAAGCCAGAGGGCTATCTGCCTAACGGGAGGGATACAACCTTCAGGGAGGACTTTCTAAAGAAAATTGGCTCGTATACATGTTACACATGGGGAAAACCACGAAAGCACCCATGCAGCCTGTCCCTTCACGGGATTCGAAATTCGGACTGAACTGCCAGTGTTCAGTGATTTTACCGTTCGGCCGCTGCTGGGCCTTACAGAAATAGAGTGACTGTTTTACTTAATATATAACCAGTCTCTTCCAATAAAATTGCCTTTTTTAGGCTAGAACTTTATAAATGCATTCAGGAAAATGGGCACCAAAATTTCCCTATTACCATGTAGCTGAAACAAAAACGAGAAAGAGAAGGAATAAAAGAAAAAAAAAATTAAAATTAAATGAGAAGTGAAATGAAAATTTATACATTTTTAACAGATATTGAGAAAGTTACATTTTATGATAAAAACATGAAACGATATAACATATTATATTGAAAATTACACATCGCGTCTTTCAAAACAGAGTAAAATATTATCTACTTACGTGATCAAGGCCTTGACATGACTGATCTAGTTAAATCTATCGTCGATAGATGGCACCACATTACGGTAATTTTTCAGGATGTCTCGCTTTGCTCCGCCCTGCTTGGTGCTCCTCCTTCTACAGATTCTGGAGGAATCGGAGTTTCTCTTCGGAGATTTTCCTACATCCGAAATTTCTTATCAGTAACGTTTTCGATATAGGAAGAGTGAAAAATGTAATTTTTGCAGAAATGTATTCAGTTATGAATGAAATAAAACCTTAAAGAATATTTTACTTCTAAATTAAACATAATGTACCAGTTTAGTGCTAGAAACATTAACCTAAGTCAGTATTTTCAGTGAGAGGCATGGTCAATAAAATGTTACAGAATTTTTATCTCAAGTAAGGTGGCATGAACAGGCCATTATAGGGGTCAACCTCTGCTTGTGTTTAAAATTCCCTTTTTTTAACTGTTTCTAATAACAAATTAATATATATTTCGAAACTAACCCTTCACGACCATATGTTTCTATAAAAAGTATAATTCAAGAATAATGATAATTTTTATTGCATTATTCAGATTTTTCATTACAGGGAAAGGAAATTTCATTAGTGGGAGGAGCGAAACGATTTTATAAGGGAAAGATGTGTATTGAGTATGTATCGAGTAAAATAATAATCAAACGTAAAGTTATTAGAAATTTGAAAGTATTTGGAAGAGCTAGATTGGAAAATTAATATCACTAAGTAAAGAAGAAAAATTATTAATGATGTGAAAGTGTTCAAAGGAACCCAGATGATTAAATGAAGAAGCTTTACAGATAATTTTTGCTGATCCCAGATTAAAATGTAACTGACTGACCGTACTTAGCAAAAAAAAAAATTATTTTTTCCTTTCGAAAATTTAATTCATATTCCCTGATGAGAAATTTCAAAGCACTTTTTCAATTTGGCCAATATACACCAAACAGCATGATACGTATCAAACAATGCTAAATTATCACTAGAATTAAAAGCGCATATGAGATGTTTAAGAATTCGAAAAATGAATTTTACTGATAAGGTGAAAAAAATAACTTAAATATTGAACTTATGGATAAGTCGAGAAATTTTGTAATTCATAGATAAGTTTAAATAATTATTGAGTACCAGTCAGCTAAACGTCACTGTCCGGCTTAGTGTCCTGTTGACTATATGTCTTGACAGTTAAGTGTCCCGTAGCTAAATATTGTGACGGCTAACTCATTGTGTCGGCCAAATGTCTTGTTGGCTAAATGTCCTGTAGGCTGACTATCCGTGTCGGCTAAATGTCCTGTCGGCTAAGTGTCCGTGTCGGCTAAGTGTCCTGTTGGCTAATCGTCCATGTCGGCTAAATTTCCTGTTGGCTGACTGGTGTCGGTTAAGTGTCACGGACCCCTGTATGTGCTGTATTGCTTCTAGAGGCAACCATATTCCATATTGAAGGTACTTTTCCTATAGCAAACTGACACATTCGATTTGTTCATTTTATACATGTGCTAATTGCTATACTACCATAACTATCTGGTAATTTATTTTTATGTTATTTGATACCTTGTATATTGTGGGCAAGTTTCATAAAATTCTACATGTAACTTTTTCAGTAATCGTGATTTTTGTGATTTTTCCTTAATTTATGATAACCAGTGTATGTTACTTAAAGGACAAGAGAATGCTGCTGTTTTGTTTGTTCATCTTGCAGCTAACTTCTAACTCTCCTGGTTTTAACGGGAGACTTCTCTTTTTTTGTCACATCTGTAGGTCTGGTAGATCGTCTTATCCCCCCCTTTTTTTTTTTTACTTTTAGCCTTTACCTTTTTAGCGTTGAAATGTTTCCCAGCAATAAATGACATTTATTGAACTTTAAAAAAAAACTTCAAATTCCGTTCTCCGACCTTTACTGATTTTTCTTATTACATTTTATTTTATCTTTATTGTAATGTACTGTAATCATTTGTAGAACTTTTTATGAAGATTCAAGAAATGTTTAGTCAGACGGTATTTAATTTTTTTTACATCAATAAATGGTACATTATTAAGTTTATTCACATGATAAATATGTGCATAAATTTTTAGTTTTGTTTTCTTTTGATTTAAAAAGATTGAGATAAATAGAAACTTTTTTTGTCTATTCGTCAGTACTCTCTACTCAATCAGTATATAAAAGTGCAGGAAAATTGCAAAACAGATTAGCCAATGAACATAAAATTGAGAATACTGAATTAAATATTTTTCTTCAAAACCGTATTGTAACTAGTTCAGTAACCTGAATCATGCATTCTAAAGTGAATGCAGTTCAATATGGAGTTCTTTTGAGATGGCATCACATGTACAGCATGAAAACTTTTGCTTTTTAATATTTTACAATTGGTAGCTATATCATACTGACAGAAATTTAACTGATGCTTTCTACAGTATGATGAGCAATGGTGGATTTTTACAAATTGTCTTTATTTAGTCAGAATTTGTAAAATAAACACAATGAAGCAGTCCAGATACTGAGATGGGTGCATCCTCTGTTCAACAATTTCAAGTGTGTGTTTTACATATTCACAGCACTACACCTAGAGAAAAAGAGAGACTGCAGAATGCATCTTTGCTTGGCAAGAACAGGTCTAAAAATACCAAAGATTATGTTTTACTGATATTAGATTATTGGCTAGTCTGTAAAAGTTTTAACACAATTGGGTAAAAATTTCATTTTCACTTTTGCCATTATTGAAGTATTTGAATCATTCACAGTATATTAAAGGTATGTTATAAAGATTGATATGCATTTAAGTATATGGAGTTTTGAAAAATTAATTGCAATTTTTCTAAACCTACATTTTAAAGCCATATAATCTCTAAAATTATTTTAATGACTTTATTTCTGTAAGCTAGAATTATTATTAACAATTAGAAGAAAACTTGATATTTTTCAATTGTGTTTTTTTTTTCTGTTTCCTATCTTAAACATTATGAAATAAGTTTCAGAATAATTTTAAAAATGCTATACATAATTTTAAATTGCAAATACACAAGTACTTTCTGAATGCATTTTTCTAACAAAATCCAATGAAAAGAATGTAGTTAATATAGCTATCATTTTTTAATTGTAAATCTTATTATTTCAGAGAGTTGAAAAGTTATTTTTCTTAAATCAGTGACCTTGTAAAACAATATTGTGCATTATTTTAATGAAATAGTTTGATTAATTTATTCTAATATTTAATTAAATGTGCACTACACTTTGTAATTCTAAATGTGCACTACCTATTTGTTATATTGTATGTTTGAATGAGAGAGATATCAGATGTGTGATATGGATGCTCATCCATATCACACATTTTAGAGACATTGGGATTTTTTTTGGAGGCAAAAAAGATGAAAAATAGCAAACGCCTTCGCAGGGAATCGAACCACGGTCCACTGGAATACCGGCCCAGCGTGCTGCCCTTACACCATGAAGGCACGATAGGGAAGTGGGAGAAATACCTTATATTCTCCCCTTTTTAAAGGGTGACTAGGGTTTTAGGGGACCTAGTCACCAAATTCTGGGTGCGGAGAATCACCATCCACAACCCTTTTAGTTCGAGTGCCACTTGTAGAAACATTAGGATTTTATTGGAGGCAGAAAAGATGAAAAATAGCAGACACCTTCACCGGGAATCGAACCACGAACCTCTGGAATACCAGCCCATCATGCTACTGTTACAACACGGAGGCATGCTAGGGAAATGGGAGAAATACCTTATAACATCTGATATCTCTCTCATTCAAACATGATCAAAAATCAGCTGAACTTTTGATTCAGCTGATTTTAAATTAAGAAATGAAAATGTCTCTTAAGTATAATATAAATCTTAATTTATTGGAAAAAAAAAAAGGCTTTATATCATGATAACCGATACGTAGAAAAGTGGTTGTATTAGCCACACTTTTTTTTTTTAATTTGTTGTATTGTTATATAAGGTTTAGCTTTTTAGTATCATCTTAAAATTGAAAACAATATTAATTATTTATCAATCATAGTATAAAACTTTCAAACAGTATTGCTTAAATTCTGGCTGTGTATCTGAATAGTAAATAATTTGAAACATGCTTTTCTAGGTCTTTCCTTACATCCAGTACACAATACTAAAGAGTGTGAAGAAGTTATGGAAACTGGTTGGAAAAATCGCTCAGTTGGTGCAACACTTATGAATGCTGATTCTTCAAGAAGTCATTCTATTTTTACTATTCATTTAGAAATGCTAGAAATGGAAAACTCTGGAGAGCATATCAAACAAGGGAAATTAAATTTGGTGGATTTAGCTGGAAGTGAAAGACAGGCTAAAACTGGTATGCAGAATTTTATTTCCTTTTTGCTGAATTTTTAGGCAGTAGAATCCCATTATTTAAACTTTAATTAAACAATGTTCTGCATCATCCAAGGCAGTCTTAAAATTGAAGTGTAGCTACGTGCTACTGTTGAATGGTTGTATTTGAATGTCAAATGTCTTCTGAAGATGACCTTTTTTTCCAGAAATTATTGAACTAATTGCTAAGTAGAATTTTATGTTGCAGTCAGTGTTAATAATTTATTGATTTGGTTTAGTAACTGTGATGAAAGTTTTTAGAAATAGTTCTCTGCCCTCTGACACTAATTTATTTAAAACAACTGTTGATTAAGTATATATATATAGGTAAAAATAAGAAGTTGGTGAAGGATTCAGAGCATTAAGAATGATATTGTACTTTTAAAAACAAATACTATAATTGTATTTGTTTTTTAAAGTACATTTAATTTGGAAGTAGATGTTACTTTAAAATGATAGTAACTGTTATAGTATATGATAAATTCATCTGATAGTTACCAGATTCTCAGTTAAATTCTAACAAATGTAAGTATACTTTTTATACTGTCATTAAGTAGATAGCTCCAAATATAGGTAGTCATTCATCCCATATTGAAATAATAAATACTTCCTATGTAAATCTTGCATGTATGCCAAATTTTGTACATCTTCTGTGATTCTTGTGAAAACTGCTCTAATTTTGTGAACTGTAAGAACAAAATTAATTTTTCTGTAAAGGCACCAAAAATTTTGTCAGTTTGACAATTTACTGCCTAGTACATACTTTGTACAGACATTCAGGTTACTATTTAAATTCATCTTCTTTACTAGTGGTTTCAAACTATGTGCTGCAAAAAGTTTAACTGCAAAATCCTGATTCTGTGGCAACGTAACTGGAAAGCAGGCTGAAAATGATCAATGATACAAACAAAATTTTGTGGAAAAATTACATAATTACTTAAGTTTATAAAGTGATGGCTTAGCTGCAGTGATAAGATGATACCTGGAAATCTGGATGTTCAAGTAATATACTGTTTTAGTCGTGGAGTAGCCTCATGTAATTTACCTCTAGAATGAAAGCCTACATTTAATCACATTATAAAAATTATGAAAATTGTCAAAAGTAGATGATATTTTTCAATTTTATTTGATGAAATGGAATCAGAGAATCAATCTTTGTGGTTCCCATTGATTGTTGTAAGGCAGAGTTTCATCCAGTGTTCATAGTTGAAAGAATTAACAGTGTTTTTGTATGAAAGAATTAACAGTGTTTATTTAAGGTAGAAGACAATTACTAATTGCAAAAAATGACCTACTTAGCTGAAATATTTGTGTAGCTAAATTAATATAATAAAAAATGCAATGATTGTGTGAAAATATATTAAATTGGATGAATAAAAGTAGTGATTCAAAAACAAAATCAAATTGGGATTTGGAAAAGTGTGATTGAAAAAAAAAATGTTTTAATATTTAGTCGGTGTAGTTGGAATCTTAAAAAAAAAAAAAAAAAAAAAAAAAAAAAAAAAAAAAAAAAAAAAAAGGAAAAGAACTGCTACTACAACTTTTAGATCAGTACCTCTGCTTGCTTGAGAGAAAATCTTATTATGAATTAATAAAGAAATTTGATTAGGCTGAAAATCTACTTGCATTTTCATTGAATCAAATGGCATTCACTTTACGTGAGCAATATTTTATTCCTTTTCTTCACCACTGTTTTCTTCCCTTGTATTGACATTTTCTGTGCATATAAATGTGTTAAGAGATGTAATACACTGCTCAAAACAATTAAAGGATATTGCGGTTTTAGGTGGATCTTGTGACTGGGAAACTTTTTAGCTGATTGATACATGGTCGACAGACGTAGTAGGTTATATGAGAATAAATTACATATTTTGGCAGAAAAAATTCATTTTATTGCGCATTTGTGTACAAAAGGGAAAAAAAAAAAAAACACAATTTGTGCATATGAGAAAAAAAAGAATAAGAAAAGGTGTTTCTTCAAAGGAAATCATTTTCAGTAAGGGGATCTTTTCCACGGACGGCCAGCAACGTTGATACCTTGGGCATGGAGTCAATGAGGCTATTAATCACGAGTTGGGTATTCTTCCACTTTTCCAGAAGAGCTCTTCAGTTCTTGGAGAGTTTGTGGGGAGTTTGGCGGCCAGCAACTGTCTCCTAGAGCGTCCCAAACGTGCTCTAATGGATTCATGTGGAGAACACTGACCATTCCATTCGTACGATTCCTTCTCGAAAGGAAATCCTCCACAGGTAGGATGATGTGGCCTGCAGTTATCGTCCATTAAAATGAAGTCATCTCCGACTGCTGCAGCGTAAGGGACTACAATAGGTCTGAGGATCTCGTCCCTATATCGGCGACCAATCAGAGGTCCATCTCGAATGATGTAGAGATTTGTGCGCCCGTCAATGGAGATGCCACCATACACCAACACTCCCCCACCGCCAAATCTGACACTTTTGTTCACGAACACAGGATTATTCTTACTGCCACGGTCCCTCCAGATGAAAATATGCCTATTATCAGGATGAACAGAAAAACGGGACTTGTCAGGAAAAAGAACATTGCTCCGTTCATTTCTCCTCCAGTTCACATGCTCTGTTGCCCACTCCCTGCGGTCACGACGATGCCTTGATGTTAGTCTAACACATACCATCGGTCAGCGAGCATACAGACCTACACCATGGAGCTGGTTTCGGACAGTCTGAGTTGAAACCGTGGTGCCAGTAGCCGAGCGAAGGTGTTGTTGGAGAAGAGTAGCATTCATATTTCGGTGTCCCGAGCTGTTAACACTAAATAACGATATTCATTGGGCGTTGTTGCCCGTCTACGACCTTGCCCTGGTCTTCGGCCTGCACTTCCAGTTTCCAAAAACCGGTTCCAGATCCTGGAAATCACACTTTGTGACACTCCAATGGCTTGCGCTACCTCGGACTGAGTTTGGCCCCCTTCTAATCTACCAACAACTCTCCAAGCTTCTGAATTGGTTAAATGTCTTCGCTGAGACATCGTACTCATCGAAACAAAGAGTCACTGAATGCCGATCATCCTTGTCTTCATTGTCTTTCATTCAGTTGAAAGTCAAATTTCATTCACTGCCGCTGAAGCGACGTTTTTGACGTCGAACTCAAAATTAGCATACTTCACAGTTTGAAAATCAGAAAAATTTGCATTGATTCTCTTCTTCCATTTTCGGCAAAAAAAATTTTGATTATATCTTTATTTTATATAAAACTTACAATATCCTTTAATTGTTTTGAGCAGTTTATATTGTATTCAATAATGCTTAAGTAGTTATTAAATTATGGTTAATTATTCAATTTTAATGTAAAAAGAGAAAGAAAATGTAAACAAAACTTTGGAAAACTTTGATTTTGCATAGCTTTTAATCCCATGGTGTATGAATTATTAGAATTCTACTGATTATGATTAAAGACAAGCAGTGGCAAAAGAAATTGGTAAAATAAATCCAAAAATTGGTCATTACAAATATCTATTTTATATTTAGGCAAAGTAAATAAATTAATTGTGTTCTAAAGCTAACATTAAGTACATTAATTTATAATATGCATTCTAAGTAGCATTAATTATTAGAAGATATTAATAATGCATAAAAATAGAAAAAGGTGATTTTACTTATTATAGGAATAGTGTAATATTCATAAGTTTCAGAGAAAATATGCTAATGAATACCATAAGAAAGCTAAATAAATAAACAAACACAAAAAAATTCAGATTAGGTGTTTACTACTTGAGAAAGAAATATTGTCTTAGAATACATCATTATGCTCTTATTACATGATATTGCAAGCATTTCTTCAGATTCTCCATTATGAGATATGTTATCTACCCATTAAGATGTATGTATTAGAGGGATGGGAGATGATCTTTCAGCATTTATCAAAGTGACAGGAGCATTTCTAAAACTGTCAGAACTATGGAATATATAACAATATCCTTTCATCTTCTAAAATTTTAGAAGTGCTTCTAATTTTCTGAATGTCATAATTTTCATTAACAAGATGATGGCACTTTTACTTCTCTCTAATACTGGACTCTTTTTCATCACACGATCAGATATGCAAATAGAAGCATTCTACATTCTCTTCCTTCGGGAAAGATATTACATCTGAGAGAAATGTGAAAATATAAATGCAAGACTGTTCTTTACATATGTCTGTCTGAATAACTCCTGAGCACTTTTAATGGTAGAAGTCTCTCTCAGTGAAAACCTTGTCTTACGTTTGTCATATAATGTACAAAGCAATGCAAAGAGGCAAAGGAAACTGATAAAAGAAATTTTATTAAAACTCAGTCATTACTTTCTATAGCTCTTCCCTCCCCTCAGAAATTGGTGCTGCTAAATTGGTTAACAATAATTCCTCTCCTTTCCAGTAGGAGAGTTCCTTTATTTTTTCTTTTATCGCCTATAAAAAGGCAAATAAAATTAGGAATTGGAATTGTGAATATGAACGATAATTGTATCAAATGCCATTTATTTAAAAGTTTTTAGAAAAATCAAAATACAGCACCAGTTTGATGCAATACCAAAATACCAGTTTTGACGCAACTTTCACTTTATAATTACGAGTAACAAAGATCTCATACAAGTAGCAGAGGCAGTATCAAACAGTACTTAAAAGAGTTTAATGCATAGTCAGATGAAGCAGTATGAAAATTAAATTCAAAGAAGCAACACGAAAATTGTAGTTGAAGTTTGCATATTGAAATTTATCGATTGTGAATGTATTGATTTCTCTTCTATATGCAGAAAAAGTTTCATAATTTTTAAATTGTTTTCATGTAGCCTTTTTCTTTTCATATATTAAGAAGAGATTAGCACATTTTATATAACAAATTTATAAATTAGTCTGACAAAACTAAGGTAATATTTTATAACTTGACTTAAAAAATTTCATGTTTGCTTCTAAGGAAATCATTAATCCTCTTTGAAGATATAAAATTCCGAATTCAAACATGCACAATTTCAACCTTTCAAGGCATTCGTCAGTTATGTCAATATATCATATTTGAAACAGTTTGAGTTTTCATTATGCACTACTATGAACTGCTATAATTTTAAAAATGTACTAGCTTCATTGTAAACTTTTTTTAAGGTACATGATTAGGCTGCTATGTTTTTAAAAATATGCTATTCAGCACTTGCACTAAAATCTGTAATAACGTAAATGTCAATATGAAATCAAAAATTCTAAATTTATAAATAATTAGATTTTGGGTGTATTTTTAATGAAAAATATTTTGCTTATTCTTATGAATTGCATCATTGCTTTTTATTTTATATATTTAATCCATTTTTATTTTAATTTTTAGGGGCTACAGGTGATCGTCTGAAAGAAGCAACCAAAATCAACTTATCTTTATCAGCTTTAGGTAATGTGATATCTGCTTTAGTCGATGGGAAATCAAAACATATTCCGTACAGGGACTCAAAACTTACAAGGCTACTTCAAGATTCTCTTGGTGGTAATACTAAAACTTTGATGGTGGCTTGCCTTTCTCCAGCAGACAATAATTATGATGAAACTTTGAGTACGTTACGTTATGCTAACAGAGCTAAAAATATTCAAAACAAACCAAAGGTTAATGAAGATCCTAAGGATGCTTTGTTAAGAGAATACCAGGAGGAAATAAATAGATTGAAGCAAATGTTAAGTGGCCAGTTGCCAGTATTAGACAATGATGATGCTGATTTTGTCAAAAGTAAGTTTATGAAGGCGAACTATTTACTATTATTTATAATTTTTCATTGCTATAAATGTTGGTTAAATTAAGACTCAATTAATAGAGTGGCAAATTTTATTATTTATCTGTGTCTGCAGCATTAAGGAGGTGTTTGAGAATACATAAAAAGATGCAAATATTTTCTTTAAACATTTTTCGAATTTTATGATCAGAAGTTAATTTATGTAATATAACTGAAAAAAATGACATTTAATTTTCAGGCTAAAACTGTTTTGTTTTTGCTTATAATTTTGAATTTTTCATTGTTATTAATGTTTGATTTATGATGGAGTAAATGCAGTAAAAATATTCTCTTTGTTTACTTGAATTTGTCAAAAAATATGTAATAGTTTTAGGAAATGAAATTTAAATTTTCAAGGCAATGCTGTTTTTCTGTTACTTTGAATTCGTTATTATTAATATTTAATTCATGATTTGGTTAATACAATAAAAGTGTTTCCTGTTATATATGTGTTGTATATATATATATATATATATATATATATATATATATATATATATAATGTTGTATGATCTTAAATTCACATAGTATGAAATCGAGTTATTCTACTACTTGCGCAATAGCTGCAAAGTAAGTTAATAATAATTTATTTACTAAAGAAATATTGATTATATTATCTCCCAAGATTAATTTTAGTAGTATTATCTAAAAGAGTGAATCCATAGTTAGTAAGTTTAATTCTGAAAATTGTTTTAAAGTAACTTGAATGTAAATTGTTAAAAATGTTTAACGGGGACTTGAATTAAATAATGAATAACAAAATTTCAATTGTAAAAAGAAATTAAATTAAAAGCTAGTAATCATTGCCATTGATCGGAAATTAGTTGACTTTTCAAGGGGAACAAACCAACTCCCATTCAATGAACAATAATTAAGAAATAAATACGAAGGTGTTTTGTCCTTTACTCAAGTGATAGGCGATGCCAAACTGGCAATTTAAGTTAGGCCAAATATTTCCGTGAATTGAAGGGATCAAGAAGCAATGCAGAGCACTAAAGAACTCATTCTGATTAAGCATTTTTGCTAATTCAATTTTGAGTGAAAAGCAATTTATGCAGTAAAATTGATAAATTACTTGAGTAATTGTCCCCTGACACCCTCGTGTTTATGCATTTTTATTCAAAACTATTTGTAAAAAATTAAACATTGGCATTATGAAATAGAACTCAAAGTAATTGAAATAAACATTAGAAAATTACAAAATACAGTCAAAAGTTGTTAATTCGGACACCCATAATCCGGACCTCAAAGCTAAAAACTTTCTGCGCACGCATTGACACATGCGCATAGGCGTTTACGCGTGCGCGTAAGAACTTTACGACTGCGCATATGCATGTGCGCAAACGCAGAATACATTTTCGCGTGCGTGTTTAATGTATAACGGACGGTATAAGCTAAAATTATCTATTTCAGTTAATGTTGATGATTGCGTTGTTCCTTAATCTTCGAAGTGGATCCTGCTTATTATTTTTTACAGACTGTAAGAGCAATTTTATAAAAGTAAACTTGAACTTTCGATTATGTCAAATAGAATTTCCGATGCTGGAGCTCCCAAAGGATCTACAAAACAAAAGTATGTTTCAGTGTCCATCAAACAAAAAATGGAATTGCTGCAAAAAATGGATAAAGACATGAAGAAGGTGACAGTGAGGTTAGTGAAAACGAAAAAATTTCGATTGATAAGTTAGTCGGTATTCTCGGCACAGCAATTATGGGACTTGAACAGCGGAACTTTGTAACTGAACAAGAAATTATGTCTGTTTATAGAATTAAAGAGAAAGTATTATCACATAAAACGAAGCAACTTAAACAACTTACTTTGAAAGAAATGTTTAATAAAGTAAACAAATAAATATTAAGCTTTTTTTTATAAATTTTGATACCCTTTAGATCATAATTGTTCTTTATTTCATAAATTACGGTTTCATATTTTTAATTTTAAAATTTCTGCCATCTTACGAGATTTAAACTGATGATCTATAATCCGGAAAAATCGATAATCCGGAATCGCCGAAGTCCCGACGAGTCCGGATTAATGACTTTTTGACTGTATAAGAAATATAATGCAATCTTTGCAAAAACAAATCAAAAAATAAAAATTTAAATTTAAAATATATATAATAAAAAAAGGGAATGTATATGAAGATATAAAAGGCCAGAAAAAGCATTAATTAACTTACGCTCTTTTTAGTGGGAAGTGGGCAAAGTGTTTTCTTCGCGTCTTACTCAGAAGGGTTGTGTTTCCGAAATTCTTTATCGGCAGCGGGGGCTTTGAATTATTTCAGTCGGCAAAACTTGTGTGAAGTAATTTATGGGAGAGGTAGTGACTAGGAATGCTTGAGGGACGTATGTTGTGGAGTTCTTATTTGAGTGAAACCGTCTGTAAAATTTTTGAATATACTAGTGAATGGAGATTAATTAATTTCTGGCTAATTGTCGTGTCATAACGAAGAAGAAATTAAGAAAAGGAGAAAAGGAATTTTCACTGTCAAAGAGCTATTTGACAGATTATGAAATATCTGCTTGTCATTCACACTGGTTCATGTGGAAGCTTGCAGTTGATTGCTGTGTTAGATTGGGTGAAGGAGGGAGAAGGAGACTTGAAATTCTTTCTTGCCTTTTTAATGCTTTTAATATTTTGATCATCATGTAAAATTGAATGCATTGAGGAATTGGAAATGTTCAGAGATGCCTAAATTTCATCAGGTGTGACTTGATCTAAAATGATTATTTATAAGCGTGGCATCAGGGCTGTCTGACATTGCAACAGTTCTTAATAGTACACTTTGATGAAATTAATCATTTTGACTCTTATGTCCATGGAGCACTTCTTTAAGTCATTTTAAATATTTGTGTAAGTAATGACTCATAATTGAAAGGTGAATTCATTCAATCAACAGATTGTTGTTTTGTCAAATTTTTTCAAAAGTCATAAGCCATTGCTCAAAAATCTCTTCAACTTAAATTGCCTTCTTAACTTCAAAACACTACTATAAAAATACATTTATATTTATTTTCCCCCCAAGATAAGTTAATCATTTTGTACCTCACTATTGCTACACAGCAGTATGTTTTTATAGAACTACACCTTATCATTAAATTGATTTTACTGATTTATCCTTTATTTTAAGGTATTATCATATTTGAATTCCTATTCTGTCTTTATTTCATACATTTGGATTGTGTTGCTATCAGAAATGTAAATTTGAAAATGATGTTGAAGAAATTAATACTAAAAAGCAAAAGAAGAAAAATTTTAGAGTGAGATAAGTCCTTGGCACTTTTAAAAAATTAAACCTGAAAAAATATAAAAAGCAGGAACACAGAATTTGTAGAGACTGGTTATAATTATAAGTTGTTTAGTCATCGAACCTTTCTTTTCTATCAAACTTACTCTCACAAACCAAACTAAACAATAAATAACTAAACAAAAATTATTACTTGGATGTAATGAACAAAATTTTTATTGTCCTTCATATTTTTTTATTTGCATGTGAATATTCTTTGACAAAAATATGAGGCACCCCATCAAGTTATAGGAGATTATCTGATAATGAATTTTCCTGATAGTTTGGATCTGGTGGTGTGAAATAATCTCATTGTGGTCCCATTTTCACAGAATATGCCATTTTAATTTCTGTTTGTTAATTCAGAAAGCAAATAAATAAAATAACTGAAACGTTAACAACCAAATTTAATGCATAATTTGATTGAAACTCAAATTTGCTTACATATAACTTTAAGGAACAAACAATTTACACTGTGTAATATGGCAATGGTGTGAGAAAAAATGTTTAAATTACCGTATAGTAAATTTTCATTTTCTTTCTTATACACTCTTTTAATTGTATTGAATATCCTTGGATTATCTCACACATTTAGGAAATTATTTTAAATTCAAATTTAATATGCTTTGCAAACACTGCATTCCTAAAACTCTTATTTTATGTATTTTTATGTTTTTGAAATATATAGTAAATTTTGTTGTGTAGTTATATTCTTTATTGAATATTTCCTTGTTTTCTGTGATTTAATATTTTATTATTTTTAGCTTTCCATTTTCAAGTCTATTTAATCGTGTATATTAATTTTTGATCACATATGAATAATATATATATATATATTTTTTTTTTTTAGGCCAAGAATTTATTGAAAAGGATGAGACTGTTATGAAAATTCAAAAAGTAAATATATTTTTTACTAAAATATAAAAAAATTCTTGTAGCCGAATTATTCAAATATAATGATTTTGTTTAGTATTTTTTTTAATAAAACATTTTCAGAGCAGTAAAATAATTGTTTTATTTTTTTTAAATAAAGTGCTTTCAGAAAAGTTGCTAGTAAAGGTAATGTCTGTTTTTTTAAGCAGATGAGAGGGATATTATTTGAGTGTGATATTAATAGTTACTAATCCTTTATTCATCAAAACTTATAAAAATAAAAATGGAAATTTGCATCACCTATTATATATATTCATTTTCATGGTGCAATACTACATGGTGCACCTATTATATATATCCATCTGTAATTTTTCTGAGGAAGCTAAATTAAAAACCTCCGTAACGAAAATATGAACCAGGATTGTGGTCCAGTAAAATTCTTTCAATTTTTTTTTTTTTTTGTAATTTTTAAAAACGTGCTTTTAGTTCCTTTGTTTCAAGATGTGGCTACATTATAACTTTTTCCATTGCTGCCTGAAGATGAAAGAAAGGAGAGAACTATTACCTGAAAACTTCCCCCTAAAAAGTTTTTTTTTTAAATTTTGAAATTACTAGGAAAACTTTCATTTTTTACCAGATTTTATTAAATTTATAGTTTCATTTCATCCATCTTTTAAGGACATTTTCTTAGCAAATCCTTCTAATAATGTATCTATTCCAAAATATTTCAGATTAACATTTTTTTAAATGAGAATTAAAAACTTATAAACCATCAGAATCTAAAGTTTAAAATTTTGCAAGAAAAACATGTTACATGATCTCCTCCCCTTTGTTATTTGTGAAACCTTGAAAACAAGCAATTTACTTAATGGTAGCATTCACCTTTTATTTGGAGGATTTGCTAGTCTGGCTATTACATGTTAAAAATTATCCACCTGAGAATCACGTGCCATTTTTTAATCTCTCATTTTTTTTCCTCTGAAATAATACACTCGGTTCTTTGGGACCACAAAATTTTCCTTTTGGAACAGAAATTTAGATTTGTACTCTTCTTACATCCAAAATATCCCGGCATTCTCATAAACATACAGTTCAATAATAAAATGTATTTTTTTTTTTTTTTTGGCACCCTTTCCTTACTTTATTCAGTAATTTTTGTTAGTAAAGCTTAAATGAAGACAATATTCACTTTGTACTCTCAGTTATAATAGGAGCAAGGAACTTAGAAATCCAATAGTATCCTTATATAAGAATCTAAACCGAATTTTTGCTGCCAAACAAATGCTTTAAGAACTTAATGTATGCAAATGCTTAATGTATATATTCAGAATTGACAGAAACTTTGCATGTGTCAAGATTAATGTTGCAGATTACACTCATTTCAGTGGAAACAGCTTAATTAATGACAATGTTAATCACCTATATTTAGAACTTGTTTTAATGATAATATGAAGATTTTATTTAAATGTATCAAGATTTTTACCTTTTTTCTGCTATTGTTGTTTAAATAAAAATTTTAATTTCAATGTCATGAAATTAAGTGTTAATTGAATTTAAAAAAATGTCTCAAAGCACTTCATATCTGACAGTTCACCCCCACTAAAATTTATGAATCTCATATATGAGTATATCCTTTTACAGTAGAGAATAATTTCTTTGGCAGTATTATACTTTTATATAACATGTCAACCAGAGCACAGATAATTTATTTTCAAGGGAAATTGCCAATTCTGCAATTGTTTGTGACTAAATCATGAACATCACTTATAAGAGTAAACAAGTACTGTCTGAGAGTAGTAAAAATGGCACTCCAACTGTTGCTTTTGTGAATATAAAGGAAGGCTGAACAGGAATTCAAAAATATGCTGCAAATTCTGTAAGTCCATGCATTTATAATGTGGGTTTTGTAATGATAAACTTCAAAATAAAAAATAGATTTCAGTTTAATTTAAAAGGATTTTCTTTTTTATATTATGTTTCCATTTTAAAATTGTAAAACTTTAAATGCTAATTTTATTAGGAGATTCAATAAAACTCGTTTGTTTTTTATTTATTTTATTTATTTTTACTGGTAACTTCTTATAAACCTAAAAATACAGAGAATTAAATATAATTTGTTTTATATGCAAAACTATATGCAATGCAATTAAACATAAATTCAGAACCACTTAATCCTTTCCAATTTATATATCTTTTGCATTCATGATGTTGAAAAAACATCAGAAATTAAGTTAAAAAAAAAGCCATAAGGAAATACAAGTATTTTCTAATGAAATCTATTATTAAATTTTCTGTTTTAATATTTATGTGTAAAATGTAAAAAGTAGTTTATCCTAGCAGCATATTTTAAATGTGTATATTTCTCAAAATTTGAAATCACTATTGGTAATTTAAGTGAACATAAAAAAGTTAATTTATATGATTTAATATCTTATCGATCAAGGGTGGCCATAGTGCAGCTTCTAAGCCACATATGACTGTGGCACATGAGTGGCATGGCTATTAGGCAAATAAAAATATGTATGAAATACAGTAATATGTATGAAATACTTCATGTCCAGGAGAAAGTAATTTATTTAATTTTTTTTTTACCAAGTTATTAGTAAACTTAAACTGGTCAATGTCCAAACATAATTGTTTTATTTCTCTACCTATTAGTTAAGAAACTTAATAACGTTATTCAAAAATGTGAAAAAATAAAAATATTATACTGATTCTGTGTTTTAGAAAAAGTTTATAAATTAGATTTGCTTGTGCTTGCATTACGAAGAGATGATGGATTCTTGTGGATGTTTTACAGGAAGGGTCTGCTGAATTTCTTAATCATTATTAGTGGTAAAAATCAAATTGGAGTGGTCTGTGAATTGAACAGAAAACATATGCAGTGCATCAAAAACATTAAACATCATTTAAAATTTGATACACTTTAAACATAATTTATAAGTTGATTCGACGTCCGACTTGATGAGAAACTTATGGCAGTTGGAAGTGTTTGAGTTTCTGATCAGTTTGATGATGATCACAGCTAAAAGATGGCGTTCCCTTTAGAAAATTTTCAGAGTCTGTAAAATTTGTGAAGCAAGTGTTCAGTGAAATTAAACGATAGTTTTGAAAAAGCAGAAAAATGATTTGAGTTGTAGTGGTGCAGATTTAAAAAGAATCTGCATGAGTATTGCTAAGGAGTGATAATCAACATTTACAAAAGATGGTATTGTGAAAGAATTGGAGTATTTAAAAACAGAAAAATAGCACTTTTTACCACGTTAAGCCATAATTAGAGAAACCAAAGACATCACAAAATTTTGCGTAGTCTTCCATGCATCACACGTGCTGAAGCCAAATTGTTTTTGAATGAATGTTTAGAATCATGTAGTTCTTTTTGTCTGAAATCTGTTTCACTGCTTTTAAAATGGTGTAAGTGTGGACTTGTGGGTTATGAAAAATTTATTTGTGGTTCTCCAACATTCCTAAATTCTAACATATGACTCTTAATAACATCTAATTTGGTCTCTCTTGTCATAGTGTACACAAGAATATGTTTAAAATCTTCAATTTATTCATTTGTTTCAAAATATTTTAAAAATTAACATTTGATTTTAATGAAATATGCAGGAATATGATGATAAAATGCAAGATCTCATAGACAAATATCAAAAAGAACAAGAAAATAATGCAAGACTGCAGAGTGATGTGGATAGATTAAAAGCATATTATGAACAAGAATTGGCTAAACTGAATTCTAAAAAGACACTACCAGAAGTAAGTTACTGATTAGCTTTTATTAATTTTAATGTATAAATTGTTTTATCTTTCTAGCTGTTCTGTTTTGTTACTTTGTAAAATGTATTTATTAATTTTGATAATTTTTTTACATAGTATGGAAGTAAACCTTGAATGGAAATAATATTAACTCTGGTAATGTTAGCAATCAACTCCGATTAAATTTTCCAATAAAAATGAGAAATCAAGTAATTTAAATTTACTCCTGAATGCAATTTGTCAAAAATTAAAAAAAAAAAAATCATTTGCAATAAATTTATTGTAGATCATATATCATCTATAAAATTGTATGAAGTATATTGCAATTTTAATATATTTTTGCAGGCAATATAATGATACAATTAAGCCATTCAAACATGAAATGCAAAAATAAGTGGATAAATTTTGCCTAATTTTAAAGCATCTTAAGATATCTTTAGTAAGCATCTTAAATTTTTATCATAAATCATCTTTCTTGAATATATATATATTTAAGAATGAAAACTTTTAAACCATCAGTAGTTGGAGGTTCATAAGTTGGTATATATATATAAACCAAAAATTTATAATTAGAAAACTTTTTATATACCATTTCCAAGGAACAGAAATTCAGTTAAAAACAAGAATTATGACTATTAAAAAATTTTTTAGTCAGTTTATATATATATACATATAATTCAATAGAGTTAAGAGAGAAAATAAAAGGAAATTATCCCCTAGGAAATTCAAAGTGAAATTTGCAAAAGTCTGCTGTTGCGTTAAAAATTGGCAATTAAGAAAGCATTTTAGAAAATTAATGTGCGTTATTGTGGAAAGAATAATTAATTGGAATACAAAGGTACTGCTCTGTCAATTAAAATGCAAAACAGAAAAGAATAAAACCCTTGATAAGTCAGGATCTTTCAATGAAATGAGCAATAATTCTTTTGTTTTGCATTTTAATTCACACAGCTGCATCTTCATGTATTCCAATTAATTATTCTTTTGACAGAAGTTCACATTAACTTTGTAAAATGCCTTCTGAATTGCCATTTTTTTATCACAGTAAAAACGGGTAATTCAGAAAGCATTTTATATTTTTGCATTCTAAATTTCACTTCGAATTTCCTAGGATATAATTTCTTTTAGTTTCTCTATAACTCTGTTGAATTAGATATATCTTGGCAGTGGTTGTGCAAGATTTTAGTTTTTTTTTTTTTTTTTGAATAAATTTTTGAAATTCAGTAATTTAAAAATTTTTCTTTTTTTGCTCTATGTATATATATATGTGTGTGTGAGGGGTGTACAAGATAAAAAAATTGTAAATAAAAATACTAACTTTAATTTGCAATAGTCCCTTAATGTTCCTTTTTAATTTGGTTATTTCTTCTGTCCATCCTAAAAATAGTAACTGCTTATAATAAATATATCTAAACTGCAGTATTTTAAAATTAATTTTCATCACTTGATTCTTACCTAAAGCTATACAATACACAGATTATTACATAATATTTCAACCAATAATAATTCAAATTTGAGAACTAAAAACTAAATCATCCAAAACCAAGCTTTTATCTAGGACATGTTGCATTCTGTTTCTCTTGCTTCCTTTCTACCAAGTGCTATTGCCATTTGCTCTTTCTTTATCGAAGTAAATTATCTTAACGATGCAGAAAACTCGCAAATCTGTTTAAGAATAGGCATACAGACTTTGCCCAGTGTATAATTCATGTTAAGAATGTGTTCACCCATATGACTGCTAACATTTTTTATGTATCATCATAATATCTAGTTCATAAATTTGTTTTCATCATCTTGAATCTTATTAAAAATTGTAAAATAAAAAAAACAGACAAGGTAAAATGCTAACATTAATTTACAGTAGCTTCTTAATTCTTCTTTTTAATTTGGTTATTTTCTCTTTTCTATTTAAAGAAATAATACATGTGCTTTAAACTGCTTATCAAAAATCAAAATTAATTATTATAAAGAGGTAGGAAAGAAGAACAGGTTTACAACATTATGGAATTTGTGTTATGTAATTAAGCTGTAATTTATGGAATGGGTAAGGGTTTATGGAATAAATAAATTTGGAGTTCTGCTATACTACTGTGAAATCCATTTTAATTGTTTTATTTGTTGTTTGAATTATTTTGCTTTTTAACAAATTTTTTTTAGTGAAAAAGAATTTGAAAAGTTCCTTAAAAGTGAAAAATGTCTGTTAAATGAAATCATGTAATGTATTTATTCCTTGATGAAATAATTTTATGTTATTTATTTTTGAAAATGGTGGGAGCTGGTGGTGACTGTGAAGCTGTTTCCCTTTCCACCTTCTTGAGAGCATCCCTCCCCATAGGCAGACAGCCATCATGTGCTTTGGCATATTCAAATAACCATAACTGTAACCAGTTTTATTGCGTCTTCACATGGTAAACTGCACTGAGTGTCCACAGAAGAATGTTATTTCAGGGGAATTTATCTTATGACACTTTGAAGGAGAAATGCTTATTTATACTTTCCAAATTCATTTATCTAATAACATAAAATCATCTATCCTATTTATAGCCTACTAAAATCTAATTCTACCTCTGACGAAATATAAAATGAAAGATTTAAGAAAAAGAAAGCAACAACTACACCCCACCTCAAAAAAATTCTGATAAAGAAATATGACAGAAACCAACTTGAACTATAGGTTCAAATGATGAGAAGAAAAATAAATGCTGTGCAGTTATGATGACATACATTACAGTCACAAATCGTGGGAGTTGGAGATGGCTTTGTAGTGCTTAAAGTAACAGCAGCAAATCACTCACATGTAAATTTGCAATGTGCATTGACTAGAACTGCTATGAACAAATTTCACTGATTGCTATAAGTAGATGAGATTTAAACTAAACTTGAATTTTTTTCCTCTATGAATGTTCTTAAAATACCTCTTCTCTTTGAACTCCTATATGGGGTTCACACAGATAGTAGGAGAAAATCTGGAGTTATTAGGGTCAGGTTAATGCCAGAGATGACAAACCAAGTTAACCTTCAAATCATTCCATTCACAATTAAAAAACACAAAGAGGAATAACTTATAATTAACAGAAAAATACTAGCAATTTGTTTTACTATAGGTTTTGAAGAATAAATTTTTGAAGAATTTGAAGAATAAATTCTCTTTATTATGTAAATTAAATCAGCAGTCAAAATAAGAAAAATACACTTGAAAACAGAAAATCAATGTTTTGGTTTCTATTACTTCTGTATTTTAATAGCAGGCAATTAGAAATAGAAGATTAATGATTATACACATAATTTATTTTTACAGTAGAGCAATTTATTTCTAATAGATGATGTTCACGTATTCCAGATTATGTATAATTAGATTATATATTGCCGTGGATAAAAGTAATTTTTGGATATTGTGGCATCATCTATCCTGTTTTTCTTCTTCTTTATGGTTGAGTTTGTCAGGTATCAGGCACCTCTGCTTTTAAATAGAACTTTTTGCCAAATGCACCAAACCCAATGCTTCCTAGCTCCATTTGCTCACTTTGTTTATAAAATCTAACAGCCCCTTAATAGAGTTCATGTATCAGAAGTTCAATGTCAGTAGCCTGATTCTCTGATAAATATTTTTCGTGATGTCCCTCAATTAGTATGGCCATCTTGGCCACATAAGAATACCTTTAAGTCTGTCACTTTTGGCAGTCTTCGGCGCGGTATTCTGCTCCACTCTTTGAGATTGCCTAGTTTCACATTTTGCCCTGGGTTTTTCAACTTTTGGCAATTTTTAATTCTCGGGCATGTTTCCTTTTTTAGTCCAAGGGGGCAGTATGCCCTTCATTTTGTCATTTTTCATTGATTCACTTTCTACGTTGTTTCACTCTTCAAATTGTTGCCACCAAATAATATCGCTCTGTATTATATTTAAATAAATTAAATAATAAAGAATCTGCATAAATGCATGTATGTTTATTGCATTGTGGTAAAACAACGGTACCTAGAGCCATCAAATTTTGAATGACATAATCTTTCACCAAGTATGGACATCTGATAGCCCTAATTTAGAATTTATTTTATTATCGATTTAATATTTTGTGAAACTTTAACGAATTTTTGATTAAGAAACTCAACAATTTCAAAGTGAGCAATGGCAACGCTGTACGGAAAAAACATTTTAATCTCCAGCGCATGAGATTGTGTATCCGAAATTCTAAGGATATGCTCACTTTAAAATTATTTTGCAATTATGCTGTTGACCCGAATTTTATGGTTTAAGTGTGAAGAATATGATATTTAATAAATAAAGGTGACACACAAAACATTTAAAAAATGTCCCTTTGTATATAATTTAAAATCTCAAACCTTTCAGATTTTTATTTTATTTTATTTTATTTATTTATTTTTTGCTCTGGAATATATATATTTTTTAACTTTGATTTTATCTAGATAGGCAGTCATGCTTTTAATAGCTTCATGCCCTTCTCCAGATGTTAATTAAGTAAAGGTCATTTCTACCTCATTCGATGAAGTAGTCATTTCTGCTTCTTCAATTGACTTCGTCTGGGTTTACTTGTTTTAAGAAGAAAGGTCTATCTCAGAGGTTTTGCCTGCAAAAGCAGAATTTTGAGTTATGTTGTCATTTTCATAAACTGAAGATTTTCATATGAACTAGAAACTAGAAAAGCAAGTATAGGATAAAAATGTCCTCCCAGTATTGCCTGTTGTTGGCAAAATAAAAGTTGTTGAAAGGCAAAATACTCTAGAAGTTGCCAGGCATTAAGACACTATAACTGCAGTGTCATTCACCCTATACATGGGTTGCATAATATCAGGATTATGGGAGAAAGTTCACAGCTTCTTATTTATTATTCGAAGCTATCCTGTCAGATAAAACAGGACATTCGATTATTCACAATCTGCTGATGTGCCTGGTAGCCACTCAAGTCCCAGGTGCTATCCTGTTGCTAACCCGTATATTTTCTTCTCCTTTTAGTATTTTTTTTCTCATGGAAATTTTGCTTTATTCTGACAATTTATTAGTAATTTTTGCATCGTTCTGTAACAGACAACCTTGACTTTTTTAAAGAAGGCCCAGTTAATCTGCAACTCATTAAATTGGGACTTAACTATTATGATTAATTCTTTTTGCCTTTTAATTGTATAAAATATCTTGCATTTAATTGATGTTTTATATTTATAGGATGATGTTGAGACTATTGAAGTTCCAGGGTCTCCAAGGGGAGGGAAACTACCTCAAAATGGTCATATATCTGTGCCAAATGGAATGACTAAATCACCTATACCAGCAAGGTAATTTCTTCATTTCTGCATAATCTTTCAGCTAAAGATTTTGAAGTTTAATGAATGGAAATTAAAAGGTATTGATTGTCTCATCATAAGGCTAGAGGAGAACATTACGTTTTGTAAAAGAATTAAATGAATGTTTTTAAACACAAGAAAGAAATAGATATATTTCTTATCTACTTCAATCAGTTAATGGCTAAAGAATATTTCAAATGATGTGACTATTTTTCTATTAGTGAATTATTTTTATAATACTTCCCCTTCCTGTGAGAGAATTGGCTGTTAATGTTGTAAATGAGATGTTATATTATAATACTTTAATTACAAGTATTCTGAAACTTTGCGAAAAACATTATCCATCTATCTATGCCAATCAGAGTAATATTCAAAATTCTACTCAAGAGCATTTTTACATTCTTTTAATTTTTAAATCTTTGTAACCCAGAATAATAAATTTAAAAAGTCAGTACAATTTAAATCTTAAAAATGGGCTTTATATCATGAAAATTTGAAGTATAATTTATATAAATTGTGGGAGTGGTGATATGCTAAGCAAAAATTTAATTTTACCCTCTCAGAAAATTTTTTAATTTTACACACAAAAAGCATTAGATGTTGAACAAATGATTGTGCTTCTTTATTAGCATGATTTAACTTAATTATTGTTGCTTCAAATGAGTGGACATTTGCAGCTTAATGCATTTTTGGGAACTGCCAATACCCATCAGTCGTTTAGCCACTTGATTACCGAGAATGTTGCCCAAAGCATATAGCAGGGGGCAACCAATTTTCAGCCCACGAGAACGAAAAAGTTCCATCCCAATTTTGATGGGGAACACCCCAGGAGACATATTCAAGAGTCTGCTACCCTTATTTCTCTACTACCAGATTCCTCAAAACGATTTGTGGTTCATCAATGTTTTAAGTGCCTCCATGCTGTATAGACACTATACATTTGCAAACATGCAAGCCTTCTCTGGGATTTGAACTTCAACACAGCCAACAATGGCACAGCCAGGAGCACTAATCACTATACTGATCAGGATAATGGTTAACCCCTTCGTACCGACTGTCACGTATACGTGGCAGCAACGAACACACTTACTTCCCGGTCGACACGCAGGCGTGCCAGAGGATTGTTCCGTTCTCTACCGACTGTCACGTATTTGTGCCAGTACTTTGGAAGGTTTTTCAAACTATATTTCTGCCACAAGTGGCATGTATGTCCATATGGTTTCAATACAGTAAATTAGACCTTCTACTCGAAAAGAGAAGCATGACTCACATACACGTGTTTTGATTATATAAAAAACGGGGAAAAAATGTTTCCGAATGGCGTGATTTATGACGTCTCTTTGAATCGCACTTATTCGCACGTGGTAGTTGTTTACTGTAAGTAGAGAAGTTTTATTTGCTCTAAAGCGTTGGTATTCGGTTTGCATTAGTTTCTAAAAATAATTAGATCTTGTTAGACGTGAATCTTTGTTGTTACCGTTGCAATGTCGAAGCTTCGAAAATGTTTACAGAGCTGAAATAGCAGAAATGATGGCAAATATTTCAGATATTGATTCTGAATTCTGATATGATGATATGATTTTGAAAGATAACTGAAAGAATTTTCCAAAACTTGTTCAGAATAGACTGATAAGAAAATGAGACGACGATGCTTCGTTTGTTCACATTCCTGGAAAAATCCTCCAAAATGGCAAATGAGTTATTACGAGTGCAAGGAATGTAACGTAGGACTGTGTGTAGATCCCTGTTTCAAATTTTTCATACGAAAGAGAATTTTTAAGTAATCTATTTAGTTTCAGATGTATAATGTTAAAATTCATAAAATTGCGAGTAATAAAATAAAATGGGTAAAATATCATTTACAAGAAATAAGGTAATTAAGTATATATATAAAAATCTATAAACATAAGCCGTTTTAAATACTCTATAGAGCATTATTAAACAATGCGTTGATACTTCGGAAATTTCATGGATTTAGGCTTAGTAGCAAAAAAGCCCCCGGCCCTAAAGAGACGCTCGCGTAAGACACTGCCGGCCTCAGCGATAAGCGTACGTTTTCGCTACCCGGCTCGAAGGGGTTAATAACTTTAATATTTAGAGTTTTTCCCCCTGCATCCATCACTCTTTTATACAGGCAGATATTTTTTTATTACTTGCTTATTTGTCTGTTTTTGAAAGCTTAATTAGATATGTGGATACTACCATTAAATAAAATAATATGCTTTTTGTTTATTTTTTCCCCTTAATTACTTTGCCTAAAACTAATATTGTTTGTTGTATATTTAAGTGTAAGGGAATTAAAAATGTATTTGTAAGCAGTTTTGCATGCAAACTTTGCATGAAGTTATCATATGTTGTAGTTATAAAGTCATTTTTTCAGTTTTGGGTGTAAAAAAGAGAATTGTCCTTTATTGCCCTTTAATTTAAATTTAGTTCAAGTTTTCGATATTTCAAAATTCATGAACATAAAACAGTTAACTTTTAATATTCAGGCACTGTAATTTGAAAATTTGGCATTACCTGATTTTCATGCCTACCCCGATAAACTGCCAAATTATGTAAATTAGGAGAAATCATGTCTTTTTTCAGTTTTTTTTTTTTTTCCAAGTTCATTATATTCACCCAATTTGATGAACTGAGTTGTGATATTATAATAGTCTTTTTTCAATTTAAACATTTATGTAAAAAATGGTACTTTCACTTTTGATCACTGTATGCCGAATCTCATGAACGGCACAATATTGCAATAGTCTTTCTTTAATTTAAACGCTGTAAAAACGTGCTGGCAGTTTTTAATTTACCAAGGAGTGAGGAAGATGCCATATTGTTTTTTCTAGGAAACGAATATATTTCCTCGCAATCGAACATGCATAAATGACCACAAAATGAAATTATATGTAAGTAAAAGTATGTAGAAGTGCAACATGAAAAGTTGTAAACAAAAAAGGACATATTCAACAACTGGTTTAGTGGTTTCAGAATATCATTCCTAACAGCACTGTGTTTCATGTACTGTTGAGCAGAGGAACTGATGTTGCTCACGTAGTGTGATAAATAGCTCAACAAGCATCAAAATTTCATGATTGACTGGAACAATTTTATGAGAGAGGTGTGTTTGCTAGATTTACTTTCACAACCTAAAGAATGAATAGGTGATTCCAGAAACAAAAGTTGAAATTAATGGGAGTTTCTTTGTGGGGTGAAAAAATAATGCTGGCAGGGTACTTCCAAAACACTGGATAGTTATGCCATAAAAGTTGTGAGTGCTTTCTTGTTCAGGTTCCAAATCAGGAAGCAAGCACACTGATATCAATGACTGTAGACCACATAGTGGAAGGGTCGACAATATATTTAGATTGTTGGCAAGTCTATACAACAGATGAGCTTGAAAAGTCTGGCTGCAGCCATTTAAATATGAAACCTGCTTATGCAACAAAAAGTGCTCTCACCCAAAATGTGGAAAGACTGTAAGACTGTGCTAAATGGCGAATCGAAAAGCAAAGGAATATGGCTCAAATCATCTAGAATCATAGCTTTTGAAATTCATGTGGTGGAAGTGGTGGAAGCCCACCTAGAAAGATAAACTTTTAAATACCATAATAACTCTTTGATTACTAGTGGTATATATATGTCCCACTAAAAGTTTAAAAATTACCGCTGGATTCAAAAGTGCTTAGAATCTTCGGAATATTGGGGATCATCTTCCAACTGTTGGAAAATCAAGATGCCACTGTACTCGTTTTACAAAAATGAACATAGAGAAAAGAACAAATATGAGTTGCCCAATATGCAGTGTTGGGTTATGCAAAGAATGCTGTACCCTGTACCATGTGATGTAGCATCTATTTCATATAATAAAGTTTTCCAGATTAATAGGTGTGTTTATAGTAAGTCGATCACTACATGTGAGACATATCTATCCAACCATTAACTACGGCTTTTGGCTTGAAAACCGTTTGTTAAAAAAATCCCTAATTCTAAATTTATCTTATTTATGACATATTTTTGTTCACTTGGATAGTAAACGGTGCAAATTATTGTTATTTTTTTAAATTCGTAGTCAAAGGGTTAAAAGCATTCATGGAGATAATGGCAGCCACAAACTATATATGAGTAGTTTAATCTTGGTAATAATCTTGGCTCTGTTTTGATAATGGGAGACCATGGAAATAGAGCGCCACTAAAAATTTTAAAAAGCATAAATGAAAAGTAAATAAAAAGTTTTTAAACAATTATTTAAAAAATTTTAATGAATTGTTGCATTAAATCAATGAGTTTTTTACTTCATGAGCTTAATTTGAAGCAGATTTATGAGTATGTTAAGAATAAAAAATTAAAGCCAAATATAACTAAATAATTTATTCCCCAGAACTCTCAAAGATTTTTTATTACTTAATTCTAAAAAACTGGACTGCAATTCTTCTGAATTATCAGCTATAAATTAAAAATTGTGGTTATTTTTTCAAAATAATATGTTTGTCTAAAACTACTGAGAACTTGCCTATTTCGTAATTATTTCTGTATTTTAATTTCATTTGTGAAGAAACAGAAATTCTAAAATTCTCAAATGAATTGTAATAAAATGCTCAAAAATATTCATGAAACTCTATTTTAAAACAAAAATGAAATAAAATAAAGTTTATACATAAGCAGAATTTTTACTCCTGTTGCATTAGGAAATACTTATTTGTACTAAAATTGTCTGTTCCTGTAACTTAGTAAGTAACTCCAATAAACATTTTGGAGTACTCAAAATATAATTAATAAAAACAGCAGCTATCTATAATTAAATCCTGTCTTTTCATATGATTGTTCTCTTTTCTAATTATTAATTATTATATTTCTTATTTGATGGTAGTAATCAGTTATAATGAAATATATATAATTGTATATTATTTATTAACTGGAAAATTATTTAGAATTTGTTTCGTCTTTTCATTAAAATTTTTATTTCTCCTAAAACTATTTTATGGAAGTATAATATATATTTATAATTCTTTTATAAAAAGAGAGTTTAAAAATCTGTGTCTTATGCTTGTATAAACTGTGTTAAAGTATTTATTGAAGTATTTTTATTATTTGTTCTTAAACATTTCAAGTGTATTAATACATGTGCTCTCCTTCCCCTTTGAATTCCATCATATTACATAGTAAAAATATAGTCAATTCTCCTTGTAGTGAAACTTTTGACGATTTATATATTTTATTCACTGTATCTGGAATTCACTAAAATTTTTAGATTAAGTTAGTGTCTTCTCATGGATTGAAAAAACAGTGAATAAGAAAATAGGATATCAAAGAAATAATATTTGCATAATGTGTAGTCATTATGTTAAAAATAAGTTTCACATTACATTAATTAGCATAAAAATAATCTGTTAGTGCTGTTTTTGCTTACAAACATTTTTAATAAACCTATTCTCTTATATTCTTTTCTAGGATTTGTGAATTTTTGCTATATTTTCCATGCATCCTAGGAATCTCAACATATTGTTGACACTATTCAATGCCTCTTTTGGTGTTAGAACACATGTTTTATCATCTTTATCACATTTGAATTTATTTTCATCCATGTCACAGTTACCTTTCATAGTTTGATAATAATTTATTTGATTAGCTTGCATTTTTTATAACATCATAGCACAATATTAGTGAAATAAATATTCAGCTTCACTAGACTTTACTTTGATGTGCTGGAGGAAGTTCGTAAAGTCACGCTATCCTCTTCGAATTTCACACATACGATATCGACACTAGCCTGCCTGTACAGTTACTTTTACATATTCCTTCACATTCTATTGACATACAATTCAAAACATTTGCTAATATGCTGTGCTCTGATTCCAAGGCTTGGATTAAATGATGTGTTACTTACCTTCTGTGATAAGTTTTGATGCCTTGAGTCATGTTTTGATCCATGAATTGAAGGACTAATATGGGGACTTCTCATGGAGTTCAAGTTTAATGCTGCTGAAGTTTTCAGCTCTAGGATATATTGGGCACTTGTCCACCAGAAGTACTTTTTTTTTTATTATCAGCTGTTAATGCGACCAACAAAATTTATGAAAAATGGATAACGTCATTTTTCAAGAATTTTTGGGATTGATTTGTGGGATTGATGGACCAGGAGTTTCTTCATGTTTTAAAAGTATTTGGGGCTCTTAAATTTCCTTAGTTGTTGTTACTTCTTCCTTAATTTGACCTGCTTGTACATATCCATAGCATTTCTTGAGTTTTTGCTCTTTTACCACAAATGTCTTCGGTACTTTGGCCAAATTATTTGATAAATTTGTCTGATCTGCTCATCTTTGAAGATATCGTCAGCTGAATAGCCACTACAAGTCTTTCTCATGTATCTTTCCAGCTGTAATTCTGTATTTTTTCTTCCAGCTCTTGATTCTTGACTATAATTTCATCAGCTGTTCAATTTTGGTCTTCAGCAGAAGCTTGTAAAGAGATCTTTAAAAACCTCCAAAGAGTAAACATTAAAATAATGAATAATGCTTCGTCACTAATGTCTCAATCCTCAAGTTTTTTTAATATCTTTCTTTACTTTCAAAACAAGCAAAATTTTATCCTTGAATCTCAAGACATTACTCATGGTTATTTACTTAAATAATACTTACAACACCCATCTGCTTACAAGAGTTCATCTTCAGTACCACTGAAAAGGTTCATCTCATCTTCCAAAGGATACCTTTTATACATTGACACCCTGATTGATGCAAAAATTGAACTAAATTAACTAGAAATTTTTACCTGGGTGCTGACCAGTTTTGCAGCCTCTCCTACATGCCCTGTAGTATGCATGTGATCAGTTTCATAATTTTTTTGCAAGCATAGTCTCACAAACTTCTGAAAAATCATATTTAAGAATTACTATATGAAAATTATTCCCTCCTTTGCCTTCAAGAAATAAATTTCCAGAATGTAAATAAATACCATATTTGACCCAAGTGTTGTGATTTTTATATTATACTATCACTGTTCAGATTCATCCCTTATCCAGATATGCATCTTGGGTGTCGGTAATTTCAAGGTCAGATGGCAAAATAGCAGCAAAGACTTGGAATGTGAATAATTCATAGGTAAAGGTAGTACACTTCAAGTGGTGTTTCTAAATAAAAGAGAGAGAAGGGACTTTTAAATAAGAGAAGTATTCAGGCAGCTACATAGAGTTGATTGAGAACTCATTTAAGATCTTCAGAAAATCAGCGAGTCTTGTTCCAGCATGTCTAGGAAAGACCACTATACACAGGCATTTAGTTGATGATTATACAGATAAACACTTTCCACTGCAAAACGCTTAAAGGGACCCAATCTTTTTTTGTCCTTCAGTATGTTTAACATGAATAAAATATATTGTGCTCAACACAGTCTTTTAAGTTTTTACAGTAGGATTTGTTTGAAATAGTTATTTTTACACTTTTCTCTTTGCAGTTTTTATAATTTATTTCTGTTAATTATGAAAATACAGTAGATGCCTATATAATACACTCTCGCAAAAATGCGAATTCCTATAGTGCAATGACAAAAATTGCAACTAGTATTCATACAGCATGATAAATAGCTTCATATAATGTGTAACATAAATTTACCATTTTCCGTAGTTTCTAAATTTTTTGTTTAGAGAAGCAAATGAACTTATCTGTTGATTTATACTTATCAACAGTGAAGCTGAAAGTTTAAAAATAGTAGGAGTTTTATAAAATATAACGAGAGCAAGTTATATGGGAGTCCATGCACATGTAAAGATATAGGAGAAAAATAATTTTAGTGTTTAACTTTTAATAAAAATAAATATACCAACAAAGTAGTTCCAACGATGCCATTGTTAATATTTGTTGTACAGATTAATTGCTTGAATATTCCATTGTTTTGTCATAATTATTATTATAATTTAAAAAGAGTTTTTTCCTCCAGTTAATTTTTAGACTGAAAATATGGGAATAGATAGTCATTCATTTTCTTTTAAATTATGTGGACCATTCTATTGATGGATCAGTTTTCATAAAATGTGTTGGTAACATTTTGGCTATTTGTAACCCTTTATTTATATCTTTTAAACTCTTGCTTTGGCACTTTAAAAGTCTGGACTGAGTTTTCCTCCTCATTACTAGAAGGAAAACAATTTGCTCATTATGTTTATTCATTACACAGTAGGAGAGCTACGTCATGATGCATCAGAATGCTCTGATAAAGTATGCCCTGTATAATGCAATTTCCTAGGGGATTCTACTCTAGTAATGCGGAAAAAAAATAGAACAGTTCTATATCTCCCGTTCTACTGGGCCAATTGACAAAATTCAAATTGTGTGTTTCTTATGTCTCGAAAGTGCAACTTAATATTTATATTAGATATATATATAGCATTGTTCTAATATAGGTATTTTGACTCAAAATCAGACCTTTTTCTGAAATGACATGCAATTTTTTTTCCATATTTTGATTCTACGACTCAAATTATGCCTAAATATTAAATTTTATAAAATTTGGTGCAAAATTTACAGAAAAATTCAAAAAAATTTTTTGGAACACTTTTTTCTGTTTGTGCCAAGAATAATTCACTTGTCAAACTTCTTAATAGATGGCAACCTATTTTCCTTTCCCTTTTTACATTGTGCATGAGCGGAAAAAAAAAAAGTCACATCGTTCCTGCGTTCAAATAATTTTAATAAAGTGCCTAAACCACATTTCAGGTTATTTTCACAAAAAATATGCCAAATTTCAAAACATGCCAATATATAAATTCACGTATATCTGTGGAAATTTTGAATAAAAATTCATTTTTTTGCAGGTATGCTTAGAAACACATCTTCTTTAACATAATGGAAAAAATTTTAATGATTATAATTCAAAATGTTTTTCAAAAAATTTATAAAAATTATTTAAAAATATGAATTTAAAAAATAAATCATAAAAAATGGACAAATTTTATTTGGAATGACCTAAATTTTGAAATGTGAAAGGAAGAATCAAATAAGTTTAATAAGTAAGGAGCAATTAACATTGAGGAGCTAAAAACTGCTCATGCGCTTTTTACAAAACTTGGCAGTTTTGCAGAATTTGAGTTCTAGAATCAAAATAGGGAAAGAAATTGGCATGCCATTTCAGAAAAAGTCCGATTTTGTGCAAAATACCTATATTAGAATAGTGCTATATATAAATCTAATACATATCTTAAATCGTGCTTTAGAGACATGAAAAACGCAAGTTGGATTTCATGAATCTGCCCAGTAAAACAGGAGATATAAAACTTTCTCTCTCTCTCTTTTTTTTTTTTTTTTTTTTTTTTTTTTTTTTTTTGGCACAGTGTACATATTCTGTGTGCACAGGTTGGGACCAATGATTAAGGTTCAAACAGATGTTCATGATACCTGTATCCACAGCTGACTGTATTTTCATGAAATAAATTTTAATAGATCATTACCCAAAAATAAGAATTAAAAAGCACACTTAATTTTTTCTTAAATATTTCTCCTACTAAACAGACTTTTTTTAAATGTGTTTTATTTTAAATTGAATTTAATGAATTTAATTAAAATAAAATCCTTTTTCTATTAATTTGCATAATATGTAATCATTTCTTATTTTGAACCCCCTTTTTTTTGTTGTTGAAAGTTTGCTTTATTTTTTTTTTCCTTTTTCTTCGCAGTTCACCCCAGGTGATGGCTCAAATACAAGCTCAAGCCCTTGAAAGGTAATACATTCAATAAAAATTTAAAAAAGACTTGTAGTTATAAGTTATTACAATGTATCAAACTATTGATTCTTAATATATTGTAGTTTATAATTAAAATACATCACATGCATGATTTTATTTTTTTTTTTTTTTATGTAGTAAAAAATTTTTTTATTTTTTTTATGTAGTAAAAAAAAAAAAAAAAAAATTATTGAATTTGTCCTTAGTATTTTGGATTTTTTTTTTACATGTTATTCTTTTCTGGCACTGACTATGAGGTTATTAAAATTGCTGTATCATCAAGCATTTTGTAAGATCTGAAAAGTGTACATGATATGTCATTTACAAACTATTACCATATCAATTATATTTTTGAGTAAAAGTAATGAAAATTTATACAGTCATCTCATGCAATATGGAAAATATCAGTATTAAAGAAAAATGCTTGAAGAAAAATGTTAATTTATCAATCTTTTTTATCGAAGGAATTAGATTTTATTTCTTCTGATCTACCTTTGTAAAATTTTATAAAATAAAATATATTTCTATTAAATAATTGAAAATCTGTATTATGCAGTTGCATATTAATTTATGTGTCAAATATAAGTAAATTATTCTAATAAGATTAAAAGTACAGGGTGTCTGTAATTAAAGAACTCTTATTTCAAAGCTGCCTACAAGCAAAACCAGTGATCAGAAAATTGTAAAATTTTGTGGCAGACTTAATGAAGGGATGAAAATTTCTTTCAGTGAAAATATATATATGTATAAATAAAAATAGTTACAAACAATGTCACCAGAGGACATTATACTAATAAATTATACATTTAGGCACACCTTTACAATAGTTTTACAGTTTTACTAATTTTTTTACAAAAAACATGATCCACATGATGGCCATCATTTTTAGCTACCATCTGAAATCGCAAGGTGGCATGTTCCACAGTTGACCAAAGTTTGTGCTGGGAAATGTTCAATACATGGTGGGAAATGCTAGCTTTAAGATCAGGTAAAATTCTTTGATTGTCACGACTTACCAGATGTTTAATATGTCCCCAAATCTAAAAATTGCATGGATTGAGGTCTGGGGATCAGGGAGGCCACACATCGCGAAAATACCAGCTAATGAAACATTCTTCTGTAAAATGACATTTAGGAACATTTATAACACACCGTGCAATATATGGAGGAGCTCCAACTTGCATAAAGATTGTGCGTGGAAGGCACCAATGTTCTCTCAGAGAGAAACAATTTCGTTCCCTAACAGCGATGAATATTGCTGCTCATTGACTGAACATGTAACTGGACCTGTGGAACTTAACTCCTAAAAAAAGTGTGGGCCAGGAATACACACAATACAGTCACTTTTGGTGAATGCAATGGAGCCTCTAACACAGGCACGGATTTTCTGATTCCCAAATTCAGCAGTTGTGAGTATTCACTGCACTGGCCAAATGAAAATGCACTTCATCTGTGCAGAGGATATTCCAGGACCGTTCTGAATCAACCTCAAAGCAAGCAAGAAACTGAAGTGAGAGCCAGAGTCGAGTGTCAAATTAATGCAGAAGCAACCGCTGCACTAATGAAAGTTTGTAAGGATAATATCAGGGGATATTCTGCAAGATCTTATGGACAGCTAAATGTGGTCTATCCTGCAAGATCTTATGGACAGCTAAATGTGGTCTATCCTGCACCTGTGCACACCAGATACTGGTGCTAGCCTGAAAGTTTGAAGCTGTGTCCTCTATGACCTGAAATGCAACCTTCTGTTCTTCTTCTGCAGACACAGGTTTTCTTCCTCTTCCAGGATGAACAGAAATCGATTCTGTTTCTTCAAATTTTATTATCATTTTTTCGAAGGTTTTTAACATTCATTGAACCTCTTAAAATCCCCTTCAAAGTCTGAAATTTCCATAAAGCAACTACTCTGAAATTATTGTTTTGGTAGAAAAATTTTACTAACAAAGTGCGATTTCATAAACTTATTGTCATTGTGAACAACATGCACATTGAAAACAAAGTCTTTGTGAATGTTTCTAGGTTTTATAACAGCTGCTGCATGACGTTGACAAAGATTTGCATTTTTATTACAGATTTTCAAAGTAAAATGCCCTGCGGTGATGTTATTTGTAACTAATTTTTTTTCGCTGAAAGAAATTCTCATCCCTTCATTAAATGTACCACAAAATTTCACAATTTTCTGATCACTGGTTTTGCTTTTAGGTAGCTTTGAATTAGAGTTCTTTAATTATATACACCCTGTATATAAGATGCTGTTTCCCTCCTTATGTTTTTAGACCAAAAGGGATATTAGTCTCGAAATGACATTTTGTGTTGAATCACTATAAATGGTGTATCACTTTCAAAATTGTTGCCACCAAATGTTATCACTCTGTATTATATTTAAAGAAATTAAATAATGAAGAATCTGCATGAATGTATGCATGTTTCTGACATTGTAAAAAAACACTTGCATCTGAAACCCTGAATTTTTGAATTTATTTTATTATCTACTTTATATTTTGTAAACCTTAATGAATTTTTTATTAACAAGCTCAATGATTTCAAAGCGAGCAGTGGCAACTCTGTACAGAAAAAACATTTATATCTCCATCATGTGAAAATGATAAAGATATGCTGTTTTTAAATATTTTGTGATTTTGCTGTTGAATCGAATTTTATGTGTCATAAATGCCCAAAACATGATATTTAACAAATAAAGTAAACACACAAAACATAATAAAAATCTTTAATAAAAATAATAAAAATCTTTATAAAAAAGAAAAAAGGTTTTGTAAAGCCAAAATAGTAAAAACCTGAACATTGCTATGATGAACTGAGAAAACACTGGGGAAAAAGTGGAAAAATATATGCCAATTTTAATACTACGTTGGAAATTATAAACACATACAGCTTTTAAAATTGTTTGTAATTTCGCTGTTGAATTGTATATGCCATAAGTGCAAAGAAAATGATGCTTAACAATTAAGCTAAAGAGAAAAAAAGTGGAAGTGAGCATAACAGCATGGTAGATTGTGAGTACAGCGAGAGCGTAAAAAACCTTAACAAGCCCCCTTTTAGGCAATCGTTAAAATCCAGAACCTTTCAGATTAAAAAAAGAAACTTCTTTATTTATTGATTATTTGGCCCATCCATTCTGTCAAATTAATCACTGTAATGTATGTTTTTACTTTGGTATATTATTGAAAGCAAACACAGTTTAAGATCCATATTTAGAAAGAGAATGTTTCCCCCAGTAGCAAGTGATGTTTGTTTTTCTGCACTGTACTGTAGCAATAAACTAAGATAGTTGGCTTTACTTTAACATTTTTTTCCTGGTACCAACTTTTGCCAAAGTTTTGTTAAGTGTTGCTCGGCAAAAAAGTCCTCATTCATTGTCATTAAAAACACTCTTTGATTCATAAACCTTTGGTGTTCTACTCTTTCTTTAAAAATATTCTTTATTTTAATGTGCATATTATCCAGTTCATATACTAATCTTTCCACAGCTGTGTCTTTCCTTAGGGAGCTTAAGTCATCTATTTGCATTTATAGTCCATTATTTTTTTTCCATGGAATCTAACATTATTTATTTATGTATTTTCTGTAGAATAGATCCTAAATATGCATGCTCATTTCTTGCATTCTTTTAAATTACTCCGAATAATTTGATGTTGTTCAGAATTTTTTCATGAATCTTCTGACTTCTTTTAATTTTCTTCATATCTTTGACTTTTTTCCCCAGCTACTCTGTGAATATTTGTAAGATATTTCCACAGTGTAATGTTTCTTTCAAATGCAATGTTTTATATTGTATAAGTGTTTCAAATGGAATTTTTTAATCCTGAGAAAGCAAATAAGGAACTTGAAATGTAATGCAGATTTAAGTTTAAAAAAATTCAGAAAACTTTCAACAACATAAATAATAATTTTTAAAATTTGCTCTTTGGCTTTAATAGTTAATGTTATCAAAAGAGTATCACTATTCATTGCATATATTTAAGTAATTAATAATTTAAATATTACTCCTAAATCAACTTACAAAGGATTTTTCCAAAGCTAGAGAACAATGTTTCTACTAGTGTTTGTGAAAAATCATGCATCCCACTAGTTCACCCAACCTGTTTTAGTTTCTTAAATATAAGAAAGGATTTTTAAGCTTAATGAGTGTCATTTTTGTTTCATATTATGTAAACTGGGCCCATCAATAGTTCAGTTAAACTCATATTTAAAAAATAAAAAACACTTCACAGAGAATACCACTATGGAATGTATCACTAATTTATTTGTTATTCTGAGAGCTGAATAATTCACATTTCTCAGTGGTCTCTCAGAACACACTAAAAAAACTCAGCAGAGTTAGCTGTGAGGTAGTGCTACAAAATAAGCATCATCGTCATTTCGTGGCACAATTAGAAACCAAGAAATATTATAAATTTTTTCACAGATATCACCTCTGTCATCAGCATACCACCAGGCCTTGAATGTTACAAATATTCAATTATAAATTTGCAAACACAAGTTATATCAAATACAATGCCATAACACTGAGTTGTATCAATTACAAACACAACACTAAACAATAATAATAATGATGATTATACTATGATACAGCTATACTCAAAACTTGATAATTAACTACAAATAAAGTATTAAGTAGCTGAAAGTTTCTCATTAACAAAAGACGAAAGTACAACCTTTGTCATTGGGCCTTTTGTAGGTGTCACTTTTAAGTGTCAAAATTTGAATAATGTTATCTTGACCTTGATATATGTATACATATATCTACTCTGTTTCGGCTCAGTGAGCTCAGTTTCTTTATTTTATATGTTTTAAATTATGCATTTTTTCCTTTAAAAATTATTGAATTATATTGTTCTTATCTTCCAGTAAGGTTTTAATGCCTTTAGTTAACCTGCATGTTATAGTTGTAGAATTATCAACAATTTAAACAACAGTTAAAAGTTGTTTAAGTGCGACTAAGCCTAATTTGTTTACATTTGTAACTTAACAGAATAGTGGATTTATTGCCAATCTAGAGGAACTACGCTTCACAACAATAAAGTAACTCCTTCTTTTATTATTGTGAATTAAATTATGCTTAATCCATTCTGGAATTATCATTTAAGTTATTAAATTATCTCATATATTGACTTAGCATAGCATCCGCAAGAAATTAAGTCAGTATCTACGCCGTTAGTGTCTTTTTGCCAAGTAAACCTTCAGTTTTGTATGCTGAAAAATCTGCCTTCTTGGCCACTGGCTGAATTGCTTGTTTTTGTGTAGAAACTGTAATTTTAATTGTAAAAATAATTGTTTTAACTGTATTTGCTGTTTTATGTTTTTTTATATCTTTCAAGTTTTAATATAGATATTTTGAGTTTTTATGTATTTTTGCCTTGCCACAAGGTAAGAACTGAATTAATTGAATTATAAATATATCTCTAATGAAATTCAAGGAAATAAGTGTAAATGAAATACAGGAAAAAATGGTATAATTTAATTTTCCGTACAAGGAAGTCTTGTGGTGTACACATCAGATTTTTTTATTTCTGTTGCAAAGGCAAACTGATGTTTTCTAAATCTCAGCATAATGCCAGTAAATCATCCTAAATTTCATCTCCATTAAACTATAAACAATTTAATGATTTTCCTGTAGAAGTTAATGCACTTGCATTAAATACAACACTCAAGGGTGTACTAGTTGATTCAGGATGCAGCACACAATGATGCAGAATATAATATTTTACATCTAGTTGTTCAAATTCTATTACTTCTTCCATATGACCCATACTTAAATACTCTTGCATAAAGGTCTTATAAAATTCACAAAATTTGGCCTCTGTACCTAGGCGGTTCCACAGATAATAAGAATTTTTTTTTTTTTTTTTTTTTAAAGATTCAACAAGACATGGCAGGTCTTCTTTTAATAGCACCTTTACTACATATTTTTTGGTTTCAGTCTTAGAATAGTTTTTGAGAAAATGCTTTTCACAAATTTCTGCTTCTTTAGTCTTCGAAATCTCAGACTTATTTTCTATGTTTTCGATTTCCCCAAATTTCTTTACTGCTCTTTCTAACTCTAAATTGTCTCTAATAAACCTACAATGTAGGTTATTTTCCCTTTAGCAGGAAGACTGCTATTTACAACATAGCCAAAAATGTTGTTTTGTCATCTTAAATTTGAATCCTGAAGGGAAATTTGGTTTGGTTTTAAAATCTCATAAAGATGTTCTGCACCTACATGAAATTTGTTTTGACCAGACTAAAAAAAAAAAAAAAAATTATCAGCAGCTAAATTGATGCTATCTAAAGATGAAAACATTTATCTCAAGAGACTTAGAGGGAGTATGTTCTGTAATTTTAGGAACCACTAAAAGTTTAGACTTAAATCAAAGCTCATATCTCTATTTAGAGTAGTTGTACTGACTCTAGATTTTATATTCAAAGACAAATTGCTTATTTCTGATACAGAAGTGATAGTCTTTTCCTCTTTTAACTAAAGCAAATCTGTTGACCTTTTGCTCACAAAATTTGAATTGGTGCACTCATCTAACAAACCTCTAACTTCAGAAAAGTTATCTGATATATCTTTAATCAAACAAACAAAAGTGCTGAGTAAGATGGGTTTGAATTCATTCTCAAGATTGCATGTTGTTAAAAATAAATTTTGATCAATGTTAGCTTTAGCTTGCAAAGACTAAATCCATGGAGCTGATGTGTCCAAAGTGATTGAATGTTTTTATTTTTATCACTCATCTCCTTCCAAACCATCTCTTTATTTATTTTTTGTTTGAGAGAGAAATGAAGAGTCACCTGATGTTTCTTCTTACCAATATTGCAAGAAAATTTATTTTTTGAAAACAATCATTTTATGATCTAAACAGTTGAAACACAGATGTTTAGATTTGACTGAATTCATATCATTTGCTGCTATATTTTTATAAATAGGGAATTTATACAAAAGATGAATTTCATCGCAGAATTTTTTATGTCAGTTAGAAAAACTTTGACACATTTCTGAGATAACTAGTTTTATTACTCAACCTAGAATTATCAACTACAGGTTTTCCCTTTAGTGTATAGTATAAATCTATCTTCTTCGCCAATTCTACGGGTTTGAATCAGGAATTTGCTTGCCTTATAATTATAGAGCACATTACCTCTTTATCACATGTTTGACATATTTTTATCAGGTACTACTAATTGTTTTAGTGTTTTGAAGTTGGTTACATTTCTCAATTTCAAATAATAATCCCAACTCATTGTTAATCTAGATGCGAATTGCACATAAGTTTCGTTCGTCATTCGTTTCATCTTCCTAAAATTCTCTAAAACGATTTGGTGGAAGACTCAAATCCTATTATACTGCTACTTTATAATCTCTCAGTTCATCATTTTTAATGTATGTAATAATATTAGTGTTTTTTTTTCCTCTTGACAAATGTAGAAGAATTACCAGTTTAAACTTCTCTGGAACATTTTTAGAAATGAACACCCTTTCTAAAGATGAAAAGAAATAACCTCATCCTTCCAGTGTTGTTGGAATTTTAATTCTTAGCATTCTTATACTTTTACTGGGAGAGTCCAGAGATTCTATACTTTCTCTTTTCTCATATTCCATGAGAATTTCACTCTTTGAGTCTGCTCTCTACTTCACGAGCTCTAGTTCCTATTTTGCTCGTTCTGTTTTTAATTTCTCGAGTTCAAGGAATTTTCTTTTGTCACCTTTTCTTTTGTCAATAATATTATTTGCTTTACCTACAACTCATGTAGGTCATTTTTATATCTTTCACTGTTTTTAATTGTATCTTAGTTATCAGTTAAATCTGATATAGTTCTCACTTCTGAAATGCCTAAATTCAGTTCAACAGCAAGACACTGAAAATTTTCCTTTAGCACTTTTAAACATTGTGAAACTACTTTTACAATAATACAATAATTGCAATTGAGGTCACATATTTTCTAATTAAACGTAATGTAGAAGTCTTCTTAATGATGATGCAAGACTTCTGCATTCGATGCACATTATCTCACTGCATCGAATTTGGCTCGTAGTGTATCAAATTTGGCACACTCTCTTTCACTGTACCAGTAATTCTGGCAGTTCCTGGACCAGCAGTGGGCCCATCGGTAGTTAAATTCATACTTAAAAAATTTAAAAAACACTTCATACACAAGAAAACCATCCTGGGATGGTTCACTATTTTATTTTTTATTCAGAGAACTGAATAATTCACATCTCTCGGTGGCATCTCAGAACACACTAAAAAAACTCAACAGAATGAGCTACAAGGTGTTGCTACAAAATAAGCTTCAGCATCATCTCATCACACATTTGGTACACAATACTACACATATTTTTCACAGATAGCACCTGCTGCATCTACATTAAAACTGAATGAAATTCATATTAACTCATAACAAATGCAAAAACAAAATGAAAGAGGGCTGTTGACTTACTATTTTCAGACTAAATTTAGTCTTCATTTTTAAATTTAATTAGTTTAGATGTACATTTTACAGCTATTTCACATTAGGATACATTTTAAGTTAAATTTTTATTATTTTATTTTTTCAATATATATTTTATTTAAAAAATTTTTTATATACAACCACTAAATTTGGATGGTTATTTTTCCAGGCTGTATGGTATTTCTTTTAAATATTTTGATATCTTAAAATTCTGTATAAAACAGTTTTGTACCCATCATAATCATTAAGCTTAGCAAAAGCTAAAGTATTTGTTTTACAGGTTGCAGGAACTAGAGGAACAGATGGTTGGTGGTGAAAAAGCACATGACAGAGAATTGAAGGAAAAAAGAGCAAAACGGAAAAAAGTAGCTGAGAAAAGGACTAAGTCAATTGCAGGTGTGTAATATTAATATTTTTAAACAAAATCAATTTTTGAATAATATTTTTATAAGTATATTAGCACTTTGCTATACTAATAAGTTAACTAATATTTGCTATTAAATTAATCATGTTTCTAGCTTTAAATAATTATAACCATATGAGATGTGGTATTACAGTGTTTTTCAAAGTCATGTAAAAATTCACTGTAACTTTGTTGTGAACATTTCAATGAAATAAAGTTTATACTTCACACTAGTCTTTAAAATTTCACATGACAGTACTGTATAATGAGAGGATCACCTGACTATGAGCAATCGTATTATTCTAAGTTGATGATCGGGGCCCACCAGCAGCCGAGCGGTAAAGTCGCTGAGCACTGGTAGTTCAGTCCGATGTTCAAATCCCGTGAACGGGCTGGCTGTATGGGCGTTTTCGTGGTTTTCCCCATGTGTAACGTGTATACGAGCCAGTTCTCTTTAGAAAGTCCTCTACGAAGGCATTCCTCCCCTTAGGCAGATAGCCCTCGAGGCTTTGCCATAATCACACACACACACACTAAGTTGATGATCACTCATGAGAAGGTGCAAAGCAGATTAGGATATGCAAGAATTAAAGGCATGCATTGGGTATATCAAAAGTTCAGCAGTATGTATCAAAAAATTGTTTTAGATAATAAAAAGTATCGAAAAGAAATATGCAAAGTTTCTGTACACAAGAAGTGTTGCAGATTTATTGTGAAGTGTCTAGCCAAAGATAAGGGAGGAGATAGTTGTCCAAATGAGAAAGAACATTGTTAGGAGCCAGAGAAGTTGATTCTGTAAAGGTTCCTGCCTCACAATTCATGTTCATCACGATTATCTGATTTGCAATCATGAAGTCTTATAAGCTATGCATCATCTTTGTTCATAATTTCATCAAAATATTTCTTTTCATTATAAAGTTTTTAATGAATTTAAATATGAGACTAATTTTTGGAAAAGAATGTGTTATTTTTGTTAAGTGTATTAAGTATAAGAGTTAAATTTCATATGATTTATTAACTTTTCATCAGTGGAGCATTTATTCTTGTGGATAAGTTAATGATGCACAATATCTCTGTTCAGAAGTATCATTTTTAATTATCCGTGTTATTTTGCATCAGCCAAACTTCTGCTGTATCAAAATTTCACTTTATTTAAAATTAATTGCCAAATTAGGAAGTCTTAAATAATGAAAACATGTATAGAAAATAAATGCTAATTGTTTAGTTAATAAAAGTATAATAAAGTTTGGTTAATGAGGTTAATGTTTATGAAAGTGAGATAAGTTTGAAATTCTGTTGACGTTTTGGGGCACTGAACGTTCTTTAGTGTGATATTTTCTAAAAAAATTAAAAAAATTCCAGTATTAAGCTTAGAAAGTTATGTAATGTAATATGAATTGCTTTACTTCAGTGGCTGTAATAAATTATTTTCCCTGATGTAAAATAAAATTTTGGTGTTAATTGACCAAAAAACACATATTTTCAAATTTTCTCTAAAGTATTAATGCAGGGTGTTATTTAATAATGCCATGCAGTTTTATATTTCTATTGACTGACATTAGGAATAAGGTGATAAAAGGAGTATTTCAAGCCAAATATATGTACAATTGTTTTAGCATCTGCACTAATAGGAAGAATTTTTCATGTCTGATTTAGACTAGCGTTTTTCAAGAATCATATGCAGTTATATTTGAATAAATCAAAACTTTCTTTAAAAAATTGTTGCAAGCATTTTCAACTTTACTGCTGTTTATTTCAAAGAAATAAATAAAAACAATAAAAATTCTTTGAAGAGTTTATCTTTCAGTAGTGGAGGTAGGCTTGTTAAGTAAAATGAGTGAAACTTCCAAGCAAAAACTGTTACACACATGATTTTTACAATGTTGCTTTATTTAATTACATTGCATAAAGTATATATAAATTGAAGAAGGGCAAATGATGACAATAATTTACTTTTACTAATAGTTTAATGCAATATTTTTAATTTATATCAAGTTAAATGTCAAATTATTTGTGATATTACATGCGACTTTAATTTCTATACCAGAATTCATTAATGTCTTCAAGAGTAATGCTGAACTTTTAAATAAGATGGATGCTGTATCTGTAAACAATCTTAAAGCTTATGTATTCTAAAAAAAATCATTCCTAACTCTGTCAAAATGCATTTTTGTTTTGAATTGTAGTTCTTTTACACACATTCAAGCATCTGCTTATACTATTATTCTGCAGCATATTAACTTTGTAATTTGATTAGCATATTTATTGGGATATCACAGAATTTTGCATTCAAATTATTACAAAATTAGAATATGGTTTGAAATCTCTGAAATGATGATGCAATGCAAGACAGCGATTTTGAGATTATTGAATTCTGAATGTCTCTATAATTGTGAAAAACTGCATGATAAACTTTACTCTATAAAACTGTGTACTGCCTTCAGTATATGTGTTAGATTCAAGCTTCCAGCTGGACTAGGATTTAGTTTTGAAATGCCAAATTTCTTAGTAACTTCATGCGAAAAATCTTGACCATAACTTCATTATGCCTCTGATATTCTATAGCTGGATTCCTCCCCTCCCCCAATATGTAGCCTTAATAATCTAAAGGTGCATGTACACTTAATTATATAATTTTATTCATGACGCATACTCATAATTATATATATGCATTTTGAATTTATAGAAGCACTATCTAAGGTTGATGAAGATGATCGAGCAATGTTAAAGGTGTATGATGATATCCATGAAGAACTGAGAGCAAAAACACAGTTGCTTAAAAAGGCAAAGAAAAAAGTATGTATTCAGTACCTGTATCAGTTTCTAATGTCTGTGCATGTATGTTTATCAGTTTCTGTCTTAACCTTCCAGCAAGCATGCGCCTCATTTTTTACGACATCCGTTATTTTACCATTTTTGGCACGAAAAACGACAGAAATGAGTGAATATTGATAATAAATTTGTTAAGAAATAAAATATTAATCTTATTATTGCAAAATACAAATGATATCACATTCAAATATAAGTAATTTTTTCTTAAGTTCTTATTATTAGTGAGATGGAAATGCAATGATGTATTTCATTATAGAACATATTTAATTTATTATTTAATAATTATATTTTAAAATCGAAGCTAATTTTAATATTTATCAAAGGCAAGTATAGACAAATAAAAAAGGAAAACTCTTTGGTAGGAAAAAAAGTAAGTTTAGCATTACTTACTTCTGCAAGGAAATTTACTTCTTACTTGTTACAAAAACACACTTTAAACTAACTTTTTTTTACACATTCAAGCATCTGCTTATTATTATTTATTTCTAAAAAATAGAAATTAAAGAAAATAAGGAATGGAAATTGCTATTGTTCAAGAAAGACCAGGAAATCCGAAGGTTTCCTTTTCTTCATCAGATAATTCTTGAAGAATGCGAGCAAAATCAGCTGGTTGCACATATTGTTTTTGCCATGAAAACTGATATAAAATTTACAGAGCCAAATGTATTCATATTAAAATAATACATGGCAATTAATAACACAAAATGACAAAATGTTTGAGAAAAAAATATTTTCCGAATTTTCATCCACAACTATGCGCGTGTTGTAAGTTCTACGAAAAAGCTGCCATGTAGCACAAATGCCGAGTAAAAAAAAAAAGTCAAATTACTTCCTGTTGGCACATTCCATGATGTGGGGAAGGGTAGAAAGGAGGAATAGAAATGACATTCAGACTCTTTTCGATATGCGAAAAATGTGCATTAAAAACTGAATTTATCGTAAATTTTGCGCATACACGCTTGCTGCTAGGTTAAATTTGATTTTAGAATTGCCGTGTGAGACTTTTATCATTTTTTAAATGCTCTTAATACACAATTTTTATGGTATCTTTTAAATATTTTTAACAAAATATAATTTAAAATTTAAATTTAAAAGTCTAGATGAAAAATAGCAGGAATTTTTAGCTATATAAGACATACAGCTACTCGAGCAAAAAATATAGAAAAGTAAAGCTAACCTACTCTTAAACAGCAGGTACTTCTATATTCAAAGGAATAAACCGCAATACTTTCATTAACCCCTTGGGTACATTTGACGTCTGAGATACGTCATTAACTTTTCCCCCCTAGGAGCGGATGACGTGTCTAAGACGTCAAACCAAAACTTAAACTCTTGGGTACATTTGACATCTGAGAGACGTCATTCACTTGTTTTCCCTAGGAGCAGATGATTCACATACTTAGCACGAAACATTTAAATGCTGATTTGATAAACATAAGCAAGAGAAGAAAAAAATGAAGGTGACGATAGCGAAAATATTATAAAACCGGCATCTGTGCTTTAGTATAATAAAGGTATGGGAGGTGTTGATAAACAAGACCAATTGCTAGCATGCTTCCCAGTTATGAGAAAATGTGTAAAGAGTTATAAGAAAATGTTTTTTTATCTAATACATTTGGCCTTTTATAATGCTCATGTTTTATATTCTAAAATCAACTGCACAACCAAGGCAGGAATTACTTCCTTTCGTTTAGCTACTGCCGAAGAATTGCTGGAGCAATTGTCATTGCCAAATTATAAACATCGCGGACGTCCATCAAGTAGTGATACACCATTTCGTTTGGCAGCGAAAAATTGGGCACGCTTTCCTGAGAACATTCCGTCAACTAAGTCCAAGCAACACCCTAGAAAAAGGTGCTGTGTTTGTTATAAGCATAATATTAGGAAAGAGACTATGTGGCAGTGCAAACAATGCAAAGTAGCACTGCATTTACCTACTTGCTTTGAAAAATATCATACTCTGCATAATTATTAGTAACTGGTTTTTTGTTATAGCTTGAATTTATTTCATTTAGTTTTATTTTGTTGCTATTAATTTATTTTTGTTTTGCAATTCTAATTACTTTAAGACATCTTAATACTACATATGTCACCAAATATTTTAGAAATAAATAAATTCTTATGTAAAATGTACTGCTTTTACATACTACTCCAAGCAACCAAAAATTATATCCGTTCCACATGCAAATATTTTCTCAAATAAATCCGTACCCAAGGGGTTAATAAATATCTGTATAATAGTAACTTCTATTTTTTTAAGTTAGAATGAAAGAATTTCTTTTTTGCATTATTCACAAACTGTTATTTAAAGAAGCATGTAGTTTACATATATGTAAAGGCTGAATAATACGTTCTTCAAGTTTGTAACAAACAAATTGTATTTAACAAACATTTACAGTATAGTCTATGCACTTTTGGTTTAAAAATACAGTACAAAGTCCATAATCCGGATGTCCATTATCCGGAATGATCTATAATCTGGACCTCAAAGCCACAAACTTACGCATGTACGTGAAGCGTTTATGCACGCATGTTTGGTGCACACGTCCGCTACGCATGCGCATAAAGCTAGTAAAGCGTTTACGCCTACGCGCTTCTGATAGTGAAGAAAGTAACAGAGAACGTTATTGAAAACGAAAGAATTTCGATTGACAAGTTAGTCGGTATACTTGATGCAGCAATTACAGGACTTGAACAGTGGAACTTTGTAACTGAACAAGAAATTATGTCTGTTTATAGAATTAAAGAGAAAGTATTAGCACAAAAAGCCAAGCAACTTACATTGATAGAAATGTTTACTAAAGTAAACAAATAAATATTAAACTTTTATTTTGTAAATTTTGATACCCTTTAGATCATAACTGCTCTTTATTTCATAAATTACGGTTTCATATTTTTAATTGTATAATTTCTGCATGCCATCTTACCAGATTTAAATTGATGATCTATAATCCAGAAAAAACCCTAATCCGAAATTGCCGAAGTCCCAACGAGTCCGGACACGGACTTTGTACTGTATAAGCATAAATTTATCAAATACAGTCAAAAGTCGTTAATTCGGACACCCATAATTCGGAATGATCTATAATCCGGACCTCAAAACTAAAAGCTTTCTGCGCATGCGCCGCATTGACACATGCGCATAGGCGTTTACGTGTGCGCGTAAGACCTTTTACGACTGCGCATATGAGTGTGCGCAAGTGCAGAATACGTTTTCGCGTGCGCGTTTTATGTATAATGGACGTATAAGCTAAAATTATCTATTTCAGTTAATGTTGATGATTGCGTTGTTCCTTAATTTTCGAATTGGATCCGGATTATTTTTTGCAGACTGTAAGAGCAATTTTATAAAAGTAAGCTTAAACTTTCGATTATATCAAATAGAATTTCCGATATATATTTAACATGTAAAAGATCTAAAGCGAAAGTATGTTTTGAAATCCGAAATCTGTTTATCAATTTCACGCTGCTCGGCGGGGGGAACGCCGCGCGTAATGAATTGGAAGTTGATTTGTCAGCACTATCCTTATCTTGGGCAGATGTTTTTATTTGGCTTATAATTCCTTACCAAATGTAGTATTTCATCTCGATATGCTCCGTCTTTGATATGATTTAAAACACAGTTTCCTCATCATTATAATTCGCTTCCGATAGCGAAGAAAGTAACAGAGGTTGTTGAAAACGAAAAAATTTCGATTGACAAATTAGTCGGTGTTCTTGACACAGCAATTATAGGACTTGAACAGCGGAACTTTTGTAACTTTGTAACTGAACAAGAAATTATGTCTGTTTTAATAGAATTAAAGAGAAAGTATTATCACACATGAAACGAAGCAAAACTTAAGCACAACTTAAAACAACTTACATTGAAAGAAATGTTTAATAAAGTAAACAAAAATAAATAAATATTAAGCTTTTTCTTTTTGCAAATTTTGATACCCTTTAGATCATAATTGTTCTTTATTTCATAAATTACGGTTTCATATTTTTAATTTTAGAATTTCTGCATGCCATCTTACGAGATTTAAACTGATGATCCATAATCCGATATTATAAAATCAGTGTATATTATAAAATCAGTGGAATCAATATGGAAAAAACTACGGATTTTACAGAAACAAGAGCAGGAGAACCAGTACGCAAAACGGAACCAACTAATTCATCCGATGATTGACTGAATACTCGTGTTATCATATATCACGTGTTGAGTGCGTTCCTAGTTTTGAAGAATTAGCCAATCGTAGATCAGTAACTCCAACCGTTAACGACTTATCAATAGTTCCACCCAATTGTCTGTCTCCCAGGTTCCTCGCTGATGCATGTTTAGGCTGCATTCAGCTGCATTGTGTAGTTTACGGCGAGAGCTTAGTGTGTGTCTTGTGAACTGTGAATCAAGTGAAAGATTTTTAATCATAATGCTGCCTCGAACGAAGAAGCCAAAATTATCAAAGCAGAAGTTTAAAGATTCATATTCTTCAGAATTTCCATGCATTAAAGCGTCCGAAATTTCTGTGAATCACGCACACTGCAGTGTATGCAACAAAGACTTCTCAGTTGTTCATGGCGGAAAAGATGACTGTAAACGGCATGTGTTTTCTCAAAAGCATATAGAACTTGGCACCTTGGCACCGTAAAATCTAAAGAAATAACAAATTTCTTAATAAAAATGATGATGAAACAGATCCTATAAAAGCCGAATGCTATTTTGTTCGTTTTTTAGTTGAACATAATCTACTGCTTTCTGTTTCGGATCATTCCAAAGAGCTTTTCAAAGCAATGTTTCTGGATTCTGCCATAGCAAAAAAATTTAGCTGTGGTCATACCAAAACTGCTGCTATTTGTGAAAACGAAAACGCTTGCAGAAAATACTGTTGCTGATATTATAAAATCAGTGTGCAGTACATCATTTTCTCTAAGTACTGATGGAAGTAATGATAACAATGATAACAAACTGTACCCATTGGTTATAACATACTACAGTAAAGAAAAGGGAGTGATAATTACTTCATTGATTTCTATTTTAGAATGCACGAATAATACAAGAGAAGGTATTTTTAATTGTATAAATGAAAACTTTAAAAACAAAGGTTTAGAATGGAAAAATTGCTTATCATTTTCTTCGGATAATGCTAGTAATATGATTGGAAAGTTTAAAGGTGTAGCATCATTTATCAAAATGCATCAACCAAGTATAATCACCCGAGGTTGTCCGTGCCACCTCTTGCATATAGCTGCAAAAAAAGCTACTGAAAAATTAATTGGCTCAGAGAATTGAAATGTTTGATAATAGATATATATTTTTACTTGGAGAAAAGTTCGAAACAGAAGCATAGCTTCAAAGTTGCTCAACAAATTTTGGGACAGAATGCAAAATCTCATAAAATTTTGAAATATTGCAGTACGAGATGGTTGTCTCTTTTAGAATCTATAACAAGGATTTTGGAACAGTGGGATGCTGTGATAATTTTTTTTGGAGATAAACCAGATAACAGTGAGAATGAAGGAAAGAGATTGCAAAACATTAAAAAAATTTTACAGTCACCGACCACCATATTGTACTTGTTATTTTTGAAAAATACTTTGCCTTTGTTTATAACAGTAAATATTAATTGCAACAACAAGCTCCTTATATACATAAATTGAGAAGAGAACTTTTTGAACTTTTAATGAATTTATTTGTTAGATTCGTAAAAAACCATCAGTAATTTCTAAAGAAAATGAAGATGTTACTCTAACATCTATTCCATTTCAGAAGTATAGTAAACAAAAAGAAAATGAAAATTTATTAGTGATTGGTGTGGAAACAAGACTATATTTAAAAAAATACCAAGTTGAAGTGAAATGAATGAAAGTGAAGTGAAATCATTTTTCAATTCTGTGCGAGCTTTTTTTTGTAACTGCATGTTCATATATAATTGATAAATTTCCACTGAGTGATCCATTTCTAAAACATGCTGAAGTTGCTGACATCAACTTGAGAACTGAAGTTCTCATTTTCATCTGTTCTTTACTTGATGAATACTTTTCCATCCATTATTGATGAAAAATGTATCTTAATCAAGTAGTAGAAATTGAATTTTCCATGTATCAAGTAGATGATTTGAAAGAAATTGTAGATTTGCGTATTGATATATCTAGCATGGGGAGAAATTGCCAAATTAAAAAATATGAATGGGTGTATTAAATACAAAGTAATTGCCTTCTGTATAATGCTTGCTGTCTTAATAATACCTCATTCAAATGCAGCTTGCGAAAGAATTTTTTCTATTGTTTAAAAAAAATCGGACGGAATTTCGACCAAATTTAGGTCCTTAAAACTCTTGAAGCAGTTTTGATTGAAAAAATAAATATGCAGGCAAATGAAGAACTATGTATTATAAAAAAAAACATTCTCAAAATCAGAACTTAAGCTTGCTAAGCATGCTACATATAAATCTTTGCATTCATAAATTATGTGTATTTTGTTTAATACTTATATGTATCATTCTTGGTTATTTAAATTTTATTTCCCTGTAGAAATCATATCCAGAATAAAGATATGATTTATAGCTTCTTCTGATTTTTTCTATGATTAGTAGTGATTTGATTTGAAGTACTTTTTATTAGTGAATGCTTGAGGAGTTAAAAAAAAAAAAAATTTCTAATTAAATGTGCATATAATTTACAAGGTATATTTTTAATTATTCAGTTTTATATGTATATCGATTTTAAATGTAATAAAATTGATTACAATTAATTATTAATTTAAAATTAATGAATGGTTAATTAAAACATACGCTACGCGCACATTTTCAAAGTTGTAAAAATGTCGCTCGCGCGTTGACTACTGACAAGGTTTGCTGAAGGTTGGAGTCTATGTATTTAATAAGAACCAATGGAAACACATGTAGCTTCTGAGAAACCACGCTAAATAAAGGGTTCAATATAGTCACCAGATTGATTTTGTTAAAAAAAAATGTTAAATAGTGCATTTAAATGATAATATTGAATATGTGTGGTATATTTCTCTCAAAGTACTGAATATTTCTAAGAAGCAGAAATCTTAAATATATGCTCTCGAGAAGTGACGTCTCATTATGTATTCTTATATACCATTTCTATTCTAGATTCAAGCTTTAGATCAGGAAGTTAAAGATTTGCAACGGGAATTTGAAACAGAAAGAACAGATTACCTTGAAACCATTAGGAAACAAGATCAACAGATAAAACTTTTAACTCAAATTCTTGATAAAATCCAACCTTGTATAAGAAGGGACTGTAATTATTCAAATATTGAAAAAATTAAAAGTGAAAGTCAGTGGGATGAGGATTATCAGAAATGGCGAATACCGGAACTTGTTGTACAGAAAACAAAACTACCTACTCCAGGTAAGATGGTATTTAAATTGCTTTATTAAAATGAGTTTTCATCATTAGTATTACTGTTGTAATTCCTTTCTAAAATTTTGTGCAATTATCTGCTAAGAGTGACTTTTATAAATGATGTATACTTTTCCCCTTTCAATATTGTTACGAATTTTATACTTAGTGTAATTATATGTGAAATTGTTGCATTTTTCTGTATAATGTAATGTGAAAACCTAGAGAGATGATGCTTTGTTGGAAAAATAAAAATACAGGGCCAAATCTATTTAACATTGAGTAAATGGCTATCTTGCTAATTTGGCAAGGTATCACCAAGCTGGTTTGGCGACTAATTTTTGTCGCCAGACATGGCAAGAAATCATCAAAAGTTGCCAAGCCTGGTAATTATTCAGGGACATTTTGGTCCATGTCCTGTATAACTGTAATTTGTATTGTAATTGAATAACTGTAATTCATCCTCTATGTAGCTGTAACTGTGTTCTACCTTCATATGCCTCCCAGTAATTTGGAGAAGCAGAAAGTATTAGAACTATCTCATCGGCCAAGCGAAAACTATATAAGACGAGCATCATTTGAGTTGCACTCGCTAATTGTTAGCTCAGTGTGAGTTCGGAGTACTGAGATATCTCCAAGTTAGCTCTACTCTTTAGATGCACTTTGATTACGTTATGTTTAATGTTCTTACTAGTTTGAAGTGTAACTACTGATTATACTCTGTGATATAGTGAAGAATTGTACAAGTATTTTTGTGCAAAGTTCCAGAACTGTGAAGTGTTTCTTTGGATAAAATAAATTTTATCAAGCTGTCGTCAGTTCTGCGTGCATTCAATCTATAATGAACCCGTATGTAAGCAACAGTTTTTAGTGTCAGAAGCGGGATTAAATGCCACTGACAAAAGTGATGGATGAGCAGTTAAGACAGCTAGTGGCAGCCATTGCTGCATACAAAGAAGTGATAAAATCAGGACAAGTATCCATTAAAGAAGAGATGAAAGCTGAACAAGAATATGTTAAGGAAGATATAAGAGCTGATAAAGAAGAGATGAATGGGGGGCCAAGAAAAGATTGGAGCAGATCAAGAAGAGATGAAAAGAGAAATTACTGCCATAATAGAGAAAACAAATTTGAGGCTACGGAAGGCAGAATAAACGTGGTTGAAGACAAAGTTGGAAAATTCAAGGAAGAGTTTGTGCTGCCCAACAACATATTGAACTACAAATATGACAGGGTTTGCTTCTGCTGTTGCCAAGAAGGTTGAAAGTTTAAAGAAAACCTAATGACAGCTGATCGCCATTTTAACATCTTTAAATTCCATCATAAGTCTCCCGCCCCTCTGTAAATCTATCCACATGTGATAGTAAGACCTTCTGGCAAGTAGATAAAACAAAATTCTTCATAGTAGCGGAAATAGAGGGATGGTATTCCCAAGCTAAGGCCTGCCATTTAGCCACTTATTTGAGAGCAGGTACATCCTTCAAACTATGCCTGAAAACCCTCTGGATATCCTCCAAACTATGCGTGAAAACCAGAAGTTTTCAGGAAACTGTGTTCAGCATGTTGAAGCAGGACTTTGGTGAGAAGTGTTTAAATGACTGTAGCAGTTAAAATCTCACCAACAGAAGCCCATAGAAACACTCCATGGAGCTCGTTATGGATATTGAAAGTCAGTTTCATCTCACCTTCATGGATTGTCCATCAGAAACAAGGGAAGTGGCAACTGTCCCTGCAGTACTTCGTTGATGGCATCCGAGATCCTGAGATTCAGATAGCCCTGCAAATGGCAGATGTAAAGGATTTAAAAAGAGCTCTTATGTATGGTGTGAAATTCAAGGCAGCTCAATAAACAATGCGTAGAGACCACTACCCAATCATAGCTGCTCAAGTCCAGGAGCCAATGGATCAAGTGACTGCTCGTGTAGACAGTTTAACAAGACATGTCAGTGCCCTTGAGATGGAATAGGAGTGACAAGAAACCAACCCTGAAGTGTTGGGACTGTGTTGGCATGGAAAATAAGAGTGGAGGCACAGAAAATTAGAGTGCTTCCCACCAAAGACGCAAGAAACAAATTAGTGGCCATCTTGTGGAGTGAATGTTGCCAGATATGGAGAATCCCCATTTCAAAATGCTTCAGATTTCTGCAGTAACAGGTATTTCTAGACTGGTGGCAGTAACAGGTATTTCATCATAGGAAATAGCAATGGGGTTCCTTGCAATTTGGCCATCAATACAGGAACCAATGTTACATCATCTGAAAAGATCTGGCTCAACAGTTGAAGGAAAATCATTTGGATGCTGCCTTGCGTAACCTTGCAGACTGTGTCCGGAGATAAAATCAACATCAATGGAAAATGGAAAATTAAGATCCCATTTGGAAGGGCCACCTGACATCACATGGCATATGTAGCAAATATTACAGACCCTTGCATACTCAGATTAGACTTTGTATGGAAATACAATTTTCCCTTGGACTTTAAAAATAATGAACTGCATTTTGGCTCTAAAGACATAATCTTATTTGGAATTAATCATGGAGGAGGGAAATCTCTCCACCAGATCATAGCTCAAGACAATGTCTAATACTAGCAAGAACATAATTTTTACTTCCTGAATCTATGATCCAAAACAGAAATTCAAGGTTTAGTATAATGGAATTCTGTATATACTAATTCAAGGTATAGTATAGGGTGCAGCAAAAAGGTAGGGAGGATTTCAAATAGTGGTTGCTCGGTTTGTAAAACCGAGTATAGGGTGCACACAGTTGCATTAGTTAGACAAAAGTATGCAATTGTCGGTTATCGACATGGCTTGTAGCGGAGTGCATCGTGCTTTCGTTGTTGAGGAGTTTATTAGAAATGGGGAATTTGTAATAGCGACGCAGCATGCCTTCCATAATCAGTTTGATGTTGGTCGCCATGGCGTGGTTCCGGATGGAAGAACAATTTGTTGGTGAGTTTTACACTTCAGAGAAACAGGTTCTGTGCTTAAACGAAAATCTACTAGCCGAGCAAGAACAGGAAGAACACTGGAAAATGTGAATGCAGTAAGAGTTTCCGTACAACAGTCTCCAAAGCATTCAGCTCGTAAGCATGCAGCTGCTTTGGGAATTTCTGATAGAAGTGTTCGAAAAATTTTACACAACTCACTCCAAATGCATTCGTACATAATGATGGTAGAGCAAGAATTAAGTGAAAGAGATTTTGAAACCCATACAAATTCATGCCATGATATTCTTCAAAACATTCCCTGAGGCACTGTATTCATGTCTAGCAATGAAGCTCACTTTCACCTATCGGGTACCGTAAATAAACAAAATTTCCATTATTGGTCAGCAAATAATCCACAGGAACTTCATGAGCAACCACTTCACAGTCCAAAGGTTACCGTCTGGTGTGCAGTATCTGAGTTCAGTGTGTGAGGTCCTTACTTTTTTGAAGAAGATGGAATAACAGTAACATTTAATGGAGATCGATATTTTGATATGCTTAACATTTTCCTGCATCCAAAAATTAACAAGTTGAACAATAATTACCGAGAACATCTTTGGTTCCAGCATTATAGTGCTACATCGCACACCATGCGTCATTCACTTAATCTTCTTAAAAAAATGTTCCCAAATAAAGTGGTGTCTTTACGGGGTGATCTCGGCTGGCCGCCGCGTTCGTCTGATTTGTTGCCTTGCGACTTTTTTTCTTTGGGGTTACTTCAAATCAAGAGTTTTTACACATCGTCCGTGGACTTTAGAAGAATTAAAGGTAGACATAAGACAAGAAATTGCTGCAATTCCCCAAGAAATGATCCATCAGGTAATGACGCACTTCCGTAAGAACCTACAAGAGTGCATCAACATTAATGGCCGTCATTTAAAAGATATCATTTTAAAAAAATAACATTCCTAAATGGCATGACATGTAAATTTCAAAAAGAAATAAAAAAAGTTTTTCCTTTATGTGGTTTGCTTTTTATTGATATCCCAAATAGTACCTATCATTTTGCCGCACCTTGTATAATGGAATATCCTAAGAATTTTAACACCCTGTGAGGATTACTAGTAGCCTTAACACTCATCAACTTATCTAAGACAGTTATCCCAGTGAGAGTTGCCAATGTCAGTAATAAAGCAAAAATCATTAGGAAAGGCAAAATAGTTACAGAAAAATAGCTTATTCTAGTGATGTGTTGAATGACCCAATAATACCAATCTCTGTGTCTTTAGAGACTCTAATTGAGGTTATTGCGGAGTGCACGGAAGTGGAAGAGAGGAGTGCTACCAAACACGTCGTTAATGAATTTCATGATGTTTTCTTTTGCTCACCTTCTGACAGATCAAGCCAGTTTGGCACAGCATAGAATTTGATACCAGGGATCATCCACCAATCAAGCAATATCCAAGATGTCTACTGATTGCTAAACAGGGAGAGGTAGAAAAACGTCTAAAGAATGTAAAAGAAGGCGTCCTTATTAAACCTTCAACAAGTCCTTGGGCCTTTCCCATCGTCTTGGTCACAAAGAAATACAGTTAAATTGGTTTTGGTATTGATTATTGCTAGTTGAATGAGGTTACGAAGAAAGACAGTTACCCACTTCCTAGAATTGACGACATACGGAACACTTTTTCTGTAAGCAAGTGGTGTTTGATGCTTGATTTAAAGAGTGGATATACATCCTGAAGACCAAGAAACAGCTTTTAATACCAGACAAGTACTTTGGCAGTTCAAGATGATGCCGTTTGTGTTATATAATGCGCTGTCAACGTTTAGTCTTGAGAGGTCTTTCCTATGAAGCTTGTCTGGCACACCTTTATGACATCATCATCATTGGGAAGACTTTTGAAGAACATTTAGAAATATCAGGAAGCTATTTCAGAAATTGAAGGAATCAAATCTAAAATTAATTCCTCCCATATGAAAATTGTTCAGACAGGAAGTGACTTGCCTTGGATATGTCATCTCTGCCAAAGACCAGAAAAATGTCAGAAGTAGAAGATTGGAGACTCCCTGAAAATGTCTATCAGCAAAGAAGTTTCCTAAGGCTTTGTACCTATTATAAGAGATTTGTGAAGGACTTTTGTTCCATTGCAAGACCCCCTTCAGAAGCTGACAGAGAGAGCAAGCAAAAGTTCTAGTGGACCTGAGAATGTGAGGATGCATTTAACAAACTGAAGGAAGCTTTAACATTTGCGACTATCCTGAAGTAGTCTTTGCTGGATAAACAATTTATTGTGGACACAGATGCAAACAGTGAGAGTGCCAATGCAGTTTTATCCTGAGAAAAAAATGGTCAAGAAAGTGTCATAGCATACTGGGGCAAGTGTTTATCTAAACTGTGTCTTCACAAAAATAATTTACTTCAAAATATATATAAAGTCTGATCTATTAAACATGTGTATAATTTTTGTAAAGCTACTAATAATAATTCCACTCAATTAGTGCTACTGATAGGCTTTGTATCATGTAAGACATAAAAGATAACCATTATTTAAATTAAAAACATTTATATATTCTATCTTTGTCAAGTAAACCATGTTTTAGGAAAGGTTGCTTTTGTAATTTAGGTGTTCAAGTAGGAGGACGACCAGCAGCAGTCTCACCCGACCACAGGAAGAAGCATAATCATTCTGCATCTAGTGTTCAAGAATATTTTGAGGATTCATCTGAGGATAAATTTTTTAGGGTGAGAATTTTCAGGTGCTATCTTAGCTAATTCTAATATAGTATTAATAACAAATGTTTGTATGGAATATATTGATGTAAATTTCAAAGAGTAATCATCTTTATTTTCATTGAAATATCAAGTGCCGTTTTTGAATTCTTTGAAGGTATTTCAAAAACATTGGATTTCAAGAGCACTGGATGTTGGCAGTTTTTCACTGCACAAAAAAAGAGGGGACAATTCTATATTTCGTGTTCTACTGGGCTGATTAATGAAATTCAAAAGTGCGCGCAGTCTGGAAATCATTTTCTTACAGATTGTTAATTTGTGATTTTTGAAGCCTGAATTCAGCCCTAAAACATGAAGATACTGATTTAAAATGCTTTTAATCATGTAACATTTTTCGGTCGTTTAAAATTGTCCATAAAGGACAGCAGTTCTACCCATACGAAATCAAATATGTTTAAGAATTTGTGAATTTAACGATCATGTTGCAAGAGAATCTTTCGCTTTGGAATTCCTTGCACGGATGGCAGTGGATGGACATTGGCCATGGAGTATTTTGTGGACAGATCAATGCTAGCTTTACCTAAATGGTAATGTCAACACCCATAACTGCAGGATTAGGACCAAACAAATCCCTCATGTTATCTACCTAGTTCCACTGCATTCTCTTAAAATCACCATTTGGTGTGGAATGACAGCTAATTTCATAATTGAACCATTTTTCTTTGAAGAGCAGTCGACAGTTCGACCTGTTACATGCACTGTGATTGCAGCTCGCTTAGAGTCAATGTTAAGATGTTTTGTGATACCTAAACTGCAGCAAGGTGTCATTTTAGACACTACGATTTTTATGCAGGACTGGGCCGCATCGCACATGTGTCACATAGTTACTTAGGCAACATTTCCCTAATGAACAGATTGGCTGACACTTCCCCACTTCTTGGCCACCCTGGTCACCAGACCTCAACACCTGTGACTTTTGGCTTTGGGGCTATTTCAAAAGCACTGTTTATGGTGATAATCTAAACAATTTGGTGGAAATAAAAGATGCGATACACCGACATGTCCGTAACATTTCTCCTGATATGCTAAGAGCTGCTGTTGAGAATGCAGTAATACGATTTAACTTACTTTTGGAAAATGCTGGACGCTACATTGAACATGCTTTGTTACATGTTTCAAAAACAATTAAACACATTTTAAATCGATGTTTTCATGGTCTGATTTCATTTAACAATATTGCATACAACGCCATTTTTCCCCTGGTGATGAGTTTTTGAACATTTTTTTTTATTATTCCCGCGGAAAATAAATTCCTATTACTTTCTGATGCAAAAGCAAAGTTTAAAGTAAAAAAAAAAAAAAAAAAAAAAAAAAAAAAAAACCATTTAGCAGAAGTAGCAATAGAAGCTCCTTAAGGTTATATGTTGTGCAGACATTGAAGACAAAAGTTTTAAACTTAACCAATTTATTAACAATATATAAAAATAAAAACACAATGAATAAATTTAATCAATATCAGAAACTTAAAGAGTATAACATAATCAGTATAAAAAAAATTACACTTAGATGTTCATCCATTAACCCCAAGAGTTTTTTCCTTTAAAGAATATTACACTATTAAAGACACAGTAAATATTTTACTTGATCTTTAAATACCGGCATTCAATACGCGAAAAACATATCACTGAACAGAAACTATGCGGTTATAAAGAAATTTGCTTCAATATCAATAAGTCCATGCTTTGTGGTCAAGATGACACCTGAAAAATTAAACTAAATCCTTGAGAGCACTTAAACCGGCAAAGAGCTGCTCACTGTAGTTACACACGAGAAATCACAGCTTGGAAAAACATCGCCGCTAATTCTGGAAAAACACTTGTGTTGAAGATGCCGCCTTCATGAAAACAGGATGGCGCCCACGGCAGTCGTTCACATTGTTGCCGCTTTTCAGGATCCAGAAAAAGTCATCTTTCGGAAAAGAATCATGGCACTAGTCGCTGGCTGGCATGCATCGCAATATCGTTTTCCAATGGGGGCTGGAATGGCATACCATGGAGCAAAGAAACAGGAACCAGAAGGAATAAGCCAGAGCGACGCGAGATACTTATACCTGAAGTAGACATGACGTCATCTCACTGCAATCAATCAGCTATCGGCACAACTCAGCTTTCCAGATGACGTAACGTCAAGTTTCGTTTTTGCATCTTAATTAGGCTGGAACTACAAACAGTGGCAGTGAAAAACAAAGTAGAAATAACTACTATATCCCTTTAAAATAAGAACTAAACCTTATGTTAAGTTAGAAATATTTCAAAGAGGAGAGATGATGCAGAAAAAGGGTTACAATAGGTCATATTTTCCAACACTTTCTTTACACGATTACCAAGTTTGATAACATTTGGTGCTGTAGTTTTCCTTTTCTGACCATTTCAAAGCAGAACTTTAATTATTTAAGTTAAAGTTCCTTAACACTGTAAATTAAGCTTTAAAAGTCTGACAGTTTCGGTCATGTCTCAGCTTTAAAAATTATATATATATAAATTTTTACATTAATCCTCTTAGAAAGAATGTTTTAAGTAGCTAATTTTCCCTTGTGTTATAAATTATATAAAAAACATGATCTTTAATATGATTTAGATTGTTTGCAGCTGATATAAGAATCGGGTCACTTGGTGGTACAGAATAAATGCTGCTGGAGTGTTTTATTTCTTTGCCCTTTAGCAAAAATCTTTTAATTAAAATATTTATCCTTTGGCCTTTGCTGTAAACTTTATTTATAGTTAAAATGTCTTGAAAATGAAAAGCTGTCTTCAGCTAAAATGCATTTGATGCAACTGATGTGTTAAAAAAATTGAAGAGAATGCAAAATTGATGGCAGTGTAACAATCGAAAAATCTTAATTTTCTTGTGTCAGCACTGAAAGCAAATGTAGAAGGAAATTAGGGAGAAAAATAAGCAAAAATTTGAAGGGGAATTAAGTTGTCAGAAATAGCAATATATTTTGAGAAGTTGCATGCTTTTGAATATACTTTGAGAATACTTCAAGGAATTTGGGTGTTTAAAGCCCATTTACATTTATTCTCCCCTCCCCCCCCCCACGTGAACAGAAATTAATTCGTTGAAAACTGCTTCACAAACTTCAAGTACCGCAACTGCAACACCATTATCGATTTTGTAAAAAATGCAGGCGAGTTTTCAATCTGCTCTAATTGGTGTAAAAAATCTATCAGATTACAGGTCCATTCATTCAGTTCAAGACATCATAGTGAAGGGCTTGCTGCAAATCACTCAGAGAAATGTAATCTCACCTTAAGACAACTGATAACAAAAAAGTTCCCTTGTTTCTGTAGGTCATAAAAAAATTTATATTTAGATATTTTTTAGATAATATTTCAAAAAATTTATGTTAGATTATTTTTTATGTTTATCATATTATTTTTTAGATACTTCTAAGCATTCGTGAGCTCATAATAAATATGGATTGAAAAATCCAGGAAATGTGAACACAGTTTTTACTGAAGAACTGAATATAGTTTCTGAAGCAAATGGGAGAGAAACACTCTAAAAGTAAAATTAAAATCAAGGCAAAAATACACAATTTTAGTTTTGCTTAAATTTGAATAAAATTATTTCAATTTCCAATTAATTATGTATCCCTTTTCTTATGTTCCCTCTTTCATGTATCCCTTTTCTTCAGAAACAAAAGGAATTATTGCAAAAGGGAAGCTGCTGCAATTGTTTTTATATTGAAAGCATGGGTCAAAGAAAATTGAGCCACGAATGCAATGACATCTGTTGAGGGTAATCAAACATGAAAAACTAAGCTATTAATATTCTGAAAAAGTTAGGAGAGATTGGAATTAATGTCGTTAGATGAAAAACTGCACCAGTACAAAATTGTAGTATCTCCTCTTTTTTGTAAATATTTTAAAATGCATATATTAAGGATTGTCATTTCACTTTTTGTAACATTATGCCGAAACCTTACTACTACTTGGCTCCCTATATCGTATTTTTCACACGTTTGCTTAGTAGTAGCTAATAATTTGTTCCAATTTTATGTTCAGTAATAATTTCATACCTGCAAAATATTATTGTAACTTCTAAATTCTGAATTTCCTTTGCAGAAATTAGAGCGTGGTGAAGAAGAAGATATTGCTGGTAATTATTTCAAGCCAAAACGTCAAGAGCAGCTGCTTAGTAAGTTCAAGGAGACAGCATACAGAGTGGGTTGTAAGTCATGTGTTTTAGGGAAATAGAACTGATATGCTTCTAAATTATATTTTAAGTAAATGAATAAAGAAAGAACCTCCCATTTTTTTTTAATTTATGAAATGGAGAAGTGTCAGGTTTAAATTAAAAAAGTATTAGATCATACAGAATTTCATTAATTTAACTGTCCCGAAAAAAGTTGTGAGATAAAAGATATGTGAATCAAAATACTAATTATAATTTGTAGTAGTTCCTTAACTTTTCTTTTTAATATGATTATTTTCCTTTTCCATTTTAAAAATAATCTTTCTTGTGTGATTCTTGCATAATGCTAATGACACAGATACTACATAAAGCTTTAGCCAGCAACAATTTAAAATTTGGGAAACAAAATTTAAAATAAAAAAATTAAAACAAGGCTTAAACCGAAACTAAATGATTTTAAATGTAGATTCAACTTAGATGCACTGCATTCTCTCTTTTGCTACTCTTCTGTCAGCATGCTTCTGCCTGCTGCTCATGTCTCCATCAAAATTAATTGCCCTAAGTATACACTGAAGAGCCAAAGTATTATGACCACCTACTGGTTAACATGCTGCATGTTTATTAGCCTGCAAGACAGCTACTCGCCTTGGCATGGATGCCAAAAGTTCTTTGTAGATGACCGGAGACAGGTTGTACCAAATGTCTAAGCAGCCATCACGCAAAGTCAAAATATTCCTATATAGTGGTGTTTGAGCTCTGAGCTGCTGCTCCATGATATTTGAGATGTGCTGTATTAGGTTAAGGTACTGCAAGTTAGGTGACCAGAACATTAATTGGAATTCATCCTTATGCTCTTTCAACTACTACAATACAGTATGAATCTTGTGACATCATTGGGGCATTGTCCTGCTGGAAGATTTCATTTCCAGTTGGGAAGACAAACGCCATGTAAGAGTGCAACTGATCCACAGTTATGTTCAAATAGTCACAGCTTTCATGGTCTGTTCTACCACAAATAAGGGTCCAAGAGCCACCCATGAAAACATTCTTCAAAGCCATAATACTTTCTTTTCTTTTCACCATCGATGGAACAGCTGGCCCACTGGGTTAGGTGCTAAAGCATAATACTGCCACCACCAGCCTATGTATGACCTGCTGTACAGGGAAAGAGCAATTGTTCAGCATACTCTGACATGGCTATCAATGTAATGAATAAGAAATCATGAATTCATCCGACCAGCCAACTGTATTCCACTTATCTGTGGTCCAGTCTTGGTGTTTCTGGGCCCACTATAGGCATATTTCACAATGACACTTGGTCAACAGAGGCACACAAGTGGGACACCTGCTGCACTGCCCCGTATCGAACAGTGTCTGCGTAACTGTGTGTTCTGAAACATTTGCACTGACCTGCATTGTGTTGGTCAATCAGCTAGGCCATTGTCTGGTGCCGATTTTGCTGTACCAAGTCGGAAAGTCTCTGATGTCGTTTTTCTTTGATGATGCAGGGATGTCCAACACCTTGGCATTTACTACTTGTTTCACTGTTGTTTATCCATTTTGGATAAATACTAACAACAGCATATGGTGAACAACCTACCAGTTGTGCAGTTTCAGAGATACTCGTTCCGTGTCTTTGGACCATTACAGTCTGCTATCTATCAAATTCACTTAGATCAGCAGCCTTTCCCGTCACTCGCAAAAGTTAAGTACAAGAATGATTCCTTACCTTTTCCAGTAGTAGTTAAATACCATTCTCACTTAATCACATGCCCTGCACGTCATCCAGACGAGTTCATTGAAAAATGTGGGGATGGTGATAATGTTTTGGCTCATCCATGTATAGCAAAGGCACAAATGTGATCAAGAATGCGCATGCAAATTCTGCCCATTATAATGTGTAATTCATATTAGGAATGCTCTTCTCAAACAAAATATGTTCAGTTGACCATGAATCTGCTTTCTCTTTCCTGCCATCAAATTCTAAATCATCACGTATATGTATGTGTAGTTTCACACATTTTAAAACATTTAATATGTTTCTATAATATTTATGCACAGAATGTACTGTGTGTAAATTTCAAGGGTTCTCATATTTTGTTCTAAATCTTCATTGAAAATTGAAGATTTAGATCAATGAAGAACCTTTTTTTGAGTTCCTTGAAAATACTTCAAAAGCATTGAAAATATTCACAGAATTTTTTAATTTTAGTTTTTTGCCCTTTAATGTGCAGTATCTCATTTTTTCTTTTTATATAAGAAGAGATTAAAAGAGCATAAATATGAATCGTGCTGTTACATCTCAAATAGTAATGAATGCTTTGACTATTCTGAAATTATGCAAAAAAGAGTGTTTGTCAATTGAAAATTGTTCATCTACTGAGAATAGTATGCTATAATTAGATAGCTTGAGATCAGAGTATAATATTTTATCATAAATTCAAACTAAAATTATATCTTAACTTTAAGCAGTCAGTCCTCTTAATTATATGAATAGCAGCCTTTTTTATATTTGGTGAAATCCTTTCCATGTCGCGTAAATCTACAAAGTATTTGCTTTTAGTGTTTTCATGTTAAAAGAATTTTATCCTTATAACATTGAATAAAAATAATAAAAATGTGAAACCAATGATGCTAAAAATTGCACAAAGTTATTATTGGATGAAAATTATAATATATTGCAAAAGCCATGTGTAAAATGTTACTGGCAAAAAATATAAAGTTTCTTTTTAAATGGAATATAACTGAAAATAAATAGAAGAGTGAAGACAGATTTTATGTTAATAGAAATTCATCTGAAACTTGAAGGTAACTTATTTCTAATTTATTTTCAGAATTCTCTACATCTGTTTAAGCTTAAAATATGGAATCAACCATATAACAAGAAGTGTTTGTATCCACTAAATGTTTTTAACAGATGTTTATCTTCTGCAGTATTGAGGAAAAAGTTGCTTCTTAAAATAAAATTTGCAAATAAGAAATTAAAAAAAAAAAAAAAAAAGATTTTGTATGCATAATTTTTCATGGGTTTTGTCAGCCTAAATATATTAAAACATTGGAAATAGTCTGAAATACTGAAATGTTTGTTGTAACAAACATTATGTTGAACTTATTTCATACATTTATTCTTAATATAATTCACTGTAGTTAATAAGCTTAAAGAAGATTTTTTTTAAATCTTTTGCCTGATACGTCTTTAATAAGGAATTTTAATTAATATAATATTTTAGCTAAGTATTTGTTTAAACTGAATTTGTATATAAAATCATGTCTGTATAAAATGTGTTTTAATTCTTATTGCATTTGTTTAATCTAAATTAATGTTTAAATATGATTACATAGCTTATCATTTAAATTGAGAAATTAGCAGTAACTCTGTCTAGTAATAGTTATTTATCTAATTAAGAAATATTCTGTATTTGTATTTATTACGTATTGTACTAGTTGTTCATTAGATCATTCAGTAATAGTCATTATTCCAATCTCTTCTAGTATTTCTAATTTTTTAGACTATGTTTTGATTAGTTTCATATTATTTCACACCTCCTCAAATAATGTTCATATAGCATTAAAAATGTGAAAATTATCTTGTTATTTGGTGTAAGATATTCATTATAACTCTATTAAAAAAGGTGATATTTTCATGGCTAGACATAATTATACTAGTGTACAAAATCTAAACAACTTTTCTGAATTTGGCCATAATTCTGCAAAATATTAACAGGGAGACATGAAATTCATACTACAGAGACCACAATGTAGTACTTAATGGATGAAGAAAATATAATAGCAAAAAATTGAATGGAGCACATACAGTACAGAATGAATAGAAAATGGCTTTGATGACTGAATGATGTTGGTACAAAAGACTGTCTGGCCAAGAGGGAGAACAACAAAACCTAGTGCATTCTTGTAGCCACACTGCTAAAAAAAAACAAAGGGGGACAGTTATATATCTCCCATTCTACTGGGCCGATTCCCGATATTCAAATTGCATTCTTCATGTCTCGAAAGTGCGACTTAGGATATATATTAGATATACAGAGTTGCCAATCTCCTGATTTAGGCCTCACGATTTTTATGGAACTTTTCTTAATGCTTTGTTATATGAACAAACAAAAAAAAAAAAAAAAAAAAAAAAAAAAGTGATTTTGGACGTCTGAAAGCAACTGAATTTTCTCTAGATTATATCTAAAACAAAATCTTGCGAATCAGATGAGAATTTCTGCTTTGTGAGTGACAGCATACGTATCCAGAAACGTCGTTCTCCAGTTCTCCAATGGGCATCGAGCTCCATTGCGTGTCATCTGGCATATATTAGCTAATGAGCACAAAGCAAGCTCAAGGTCGTTATTTGGATGTTCTTTCGTTATTTCGTTCATCTTGTCCTGAGTTGTGTGAAAACACGCCTTCGGGAAATAGTTTTAGAAATTATCATCTTTTGTTATGTCTGCGAGAAAGGTGAAATACTCATGCACATTTCAAAAATCGTACACAGTTGACTTTCCTTCCGTTATTTCCTCAAGGAAATGTAATAAATTTTCAATGTGTACCGTCTGTTGTTGCAATTTTTCGATTTCGCATGGTGGAAGGGCGGATGTTCTCAAACATGTGCATACACAAAAACACAAGGAGAACGTGAGTTTTGAAAAAAAATGAAAAATTAAATTTTTCTTCGGAAGCAAAAGACCAAAAAGTGATTAATGCAAAATGTCTGTTCTCTGCCTTTTTACTCGAGCACAACCTGCCACTGAATGCATCGGATCATGCTGCAGCTTTATTTAGAAAAATGTTTCCCGATAGTGAAATCGCTAAGAAATACTCAAGTGCAAGGACCAAAACAGGTGCAATTGTTAAAGAAATTGGTTTGAAAAATAAATTTTCAGTTATTGATTACATTTAAACAGCTTCGATCTGCCTCTCTACGGATGGAAGCAATAATACCGATTCAAAACTGTATCCAATTGTTGTTTCTTTTTTTAATCCAGAGTCTTCAGAAATTGAGTGCAGTTTACTTTCTGTCCCCACTATAGAAG